TTTAAACAAATTATATTATTTTTATATTTTAAAGATAAAGGAGAAAATCCCTCTTTTATAGAGGCTAATTAGTGGGATAAATTAGACCTTATTATATCTATTCTTCGTCAAAAATCTGCTTTTTATTAGCTTCTAAGCACAAATATCACTATTAATAAAGTTATAATTAAATTCAAGGGTCGAACTTCACAAAAAGTCACTATTCCTAGCAAGCCTATACCCACAGGATTCAAAATCTTTGCTTTAGCTGATTCTGACTATATTTTTAACTGGGAATATACTGGGCCGCGGTTAAATAAGGGATTATTAGCTGCAAAAAAATATGTTTCTGTTTCTATTCTAAATTCTTTAAAAACCACTCTTTTGAATCCTACGTAATCAGTTATTATTCGTTTGGCTTCATGTTTATCTATATTGATTAAGCAGAAAAGACTGAATTTTTATATGTTTTTGAATAATTTATTCACTTTGTAGAAATCAGTCTAAGCATTAAAAGAGTATAGAATTATTATTACTAAAACTATTCAAAAATTAGCTGCTAGCTACCCCCCTTGACTTTTAATGCTCAAAATCACTAATAAAGCACTAGAATAGGGTTATCTAGAGGCTACTATTATTCATGAAATTGCTTATTAGTTATAACAGGATTCAAATGCAGTTAGAAGTAAGTTTTTATTTTATATCTTTTTATTTTATTTTTTATCTCCTTTAATTCTTAAGCTATTAAATTAATTCTTAAATAGGAATAATAAGCGAAACTTCCTTACCCGAAATAATTAAACATGAGCGAAAAAGACCTTAAAAAACGGCCTCAAATTTAATAATTACTTGAAAACCCTTTAGAGACTAACCGACTAAAATCCTTCTTATCCCTCTATTTATTAATTATTATAATCACTATATAAGGGGGGTAGATTAAACAAATCAGCTCTGAGCCGCCTTTACCACCCATTTTCGTTAAAATCTTAAGGAATTTCTTTTAGGAGTTTTTTAGTGCCTTAATTTAGTTGTTATAAATAGCTATAAGCTTTATTTAGCTATTTACGGCTCTAAAACGACTCAAACTAGTAATCAGGACACAAATTAGCATTGAAATTTTATAGAAGATCTTATTAATCTTTTATTTTGTATAGATTTAAAGGATTTTAGTTAAAAAATCACTAAAAAACCCTATCTAAAATATTACTTTTAACCTTATTAATCTAGACTAAAACCTTAGGTAAAACCCTTTATAAATATTATTAATAAAGTCTCTAACTCTATTAATCAGCCAAAAACCACACTAGAAGCATCAGAGTCTTTATATAAGCATTATACTTATTTTAAAGCATTAAAAAAAGGCTTCTACAGGTTTTATATACCAAAATTAATAAAACCATCAAAAAGCATGGATTTAAGAGAAGAGCATCTCTCTATTTCTGTATATCGATTTGATTTAAATCAGAATATAAATATAGAGAGGCTAAAGAAATTAAGAAGGGATCAAAAAAGAGGAAAACAGACTTTTTAGTACTGTAAAGAATGTTAAAAACATGTCTGTAAAGAGAGGAACTGCTAGAGTTAGGCGTATAAATAAAATTTTAAAAGAGAAAATCAAGAAATATTCTTTAAAATTATTAATAGAATTATTTAATATAAGGTAAAATTAATTAATGTGATTTATAAGTAACTTATCTATATAAGTAACCTGCTTACTTTTCTTTTATACTATAACTTTATACTTATTATATATCATTATAATATAAAAATATAATAATAAATATTCTTTATTCTTATAAAGAATTCTTAGGGCTATTAAATACTTTTATTTTAGACTTTATAACATAAGTATTCAGCTTATTATAAATAGTTTAAAGTAGAAATAAAAATAAATAAGAAAGATATTTCTTTTATAACTTTCTAACCTATTTAGCTATTAATCTTAAATAAACTTTTTTTAGAAGAGTTTCTTTATTTCTAATAGATATAGTATTTATAAATTTCTATTCTTAGTAATAATAAAGTTATTCCTAAAGTTAACTCTTAAAACTAGTAATATTTTACCTTTTTTTATTTCTCTTTATCAAATCTAGGTTTATTATCATAAAACCTATATATTCTGATAAAGAATATCTAAGGCTATCTAATAATACTATTTATAGATCTCTAGCTTAACTAACCAGCCTGATGCAGCTAGTTTTAATCTGCCTTTATTATTTACTTTTAGTGTTCTTAATGCTAAGGCTGCAGCATAATCTAAACGAATTTTGATATTTTTAACGCTAAGGCTACAGCAGCACTCCCATAATTTTGATGTTCCTTCTGCTAAGGCTGCAGAATAACCTTAACGTTAAACGTAGATATCTCTTAATGCTAAGCTTTACAAGAAAAGATACCTATTACAAGGATATTCAGGGTCACAAGAGATAACATATTTTAAAGAATATTCTTACTAATTACAAATCTATTTTTTTCTTTATAATAGAGAACTAAGAATTATCTTTTATAAACGAAATATAAAATAAATTTCTTACTAATTGGTATAAGATTATTTAAAGTCAAACATCTACTGCTTTCAAAACTAATTAGGCTGATTTCTATAAGAAATATAAGCAATTTCCTTTCGCTATCCGTTATCTACAAAATTAATAGCTACCTTATAAGAAACGTATTGTCTACGCCTGAACTAATCAATAGCTATATTTTAATACCAGAGTAACCTTTTGAGCAGAAGGTTTACATAATAGCTTCAAGCGACATCTTCTTACTAACACAGGAGATCTTAAAAGAGTTCATGAGACTATTACTCGTCTTCTTAATCGTCAAGCTAATGAGTACAAAGGCGCTTTTGAGCAAGCAAAACAAAGACTCTTCTAGGCCTATTGTAGTAGCTTTTTTGATGAAATTCGACAGTTAGTTACTCTGATAGCTCTGTGAGAGATCTTATAACAAAAGGAGCTTAGTCAGAATCTTTAACAGCTCTGTTCTGGCCAGTTTCGATCTTCTATAGGTCTTCCTTATAAGTACGAAATTAACCGGATGAGAGAAGAGAAAAGAAGGCCTTGTTTAACTGATATCTATCAATTTTGGTGGTATTCTCCGCCTTCTCTGCCTCCTTTACTTCCTCAGCCTTCTCCGCTTTCTTAACTTCTTCCGCCTCCTTCGACTAATCTTCTCCAAAATCCACCAGTTTTAACCTGAAAAGGACGGCCCAAAGGATCAAAGAATATTCCAAAAACATCAACTCGTCGATACCCGTCCTGTTTCGAGATAGTAGATGCTGAAGTTATTGCAGAAAATAAACGTCAATATCGAAAATTATCTTCTCCTCAAGAATCGCAGCTATCTCAGCCACTTTCTCAGTCAAGATTATTTAAAGTTAAATATCTATTACTTTTAAAACTAATTAGGCTAATTTTTATAAGAAATATAAGTAATTTTCTTTTGCTATTTGTTATTTATAAAATTAATAATTATCTTATAAGAAATATATTATCTATGCCTAGACTAATTAATAGCTATATTTTAATACTAGAGTAACCTTTTAAGCAGAAGATTTATATAATAGCTTTAAGTAATATCTTCTTATTAATATAAAAGATCTTAAAAGAGTTTATAAGACTATTACTTGTCTTCTTAATTATTAAGTTAGTAAGCACAAAGGCGCTTTTAAGCAAGCAAAATAAAGACTCTTTTAAGCCTATTATAATAGCTTTTTTAACGAAATTTAATAGTTAATTACTCTAATAACTTTATAAAAGATCTTATAATAAAAGAAGCTTAGTCAGAATCTTTAATAGCCTTGTTCTAGCTAGTTTTAATCTTCTATAAGTCTTCTTTATAAGCACGAAATTAACTAGATAAAAAAAGAGAAAAGAAGGCCTTATTTAACTAATACCTATTAATTTTGATAGTATTCTCTGCCTTCTCTGCCTCTTTTACTTCCTCAGTCTTCTCTACTTCCTCAACTTCTTCTGCCTTCTTTAACTAATCTTCTCTAAAATCCACTAGTTTCAACCTGAAAAAGACGGCCTAAAGGATCAAAGAATATTCTAAAAACATCAACTCATTAATACCCGTCCTGTTTCGAGATAGTAGATACTGAAGTTAATACAGAAAATAAACGTCAATGTCAAAAATTATCTTCTCCTCAAGAATCGCAGCTAGAAAATAAACGTCAATGTCAAAAATTATCTTCTCCTCAAGAATCGCAGCTATCTCAGCCACTTTCTTAGTCATATCAGTACTCTCGCGAAACAGAAGCAATATCAGCCGAGATACGAGCTCGTCAACTACCTCAAACAGATCCAGAAGAGAATAAGAATAAGCGAAAAAGGACACCTTCTTTTATTAGAGATGAACTTGATCCTGTTGAGAAGAAAATTATGAAGATTGAGTGGAGGCGACTGGTCGAATCAGGTGGTACTGCCCCTCCACTCTGGTCAGAGATGCCCGAATTCTCAGGGATGACGAGAGCAGTAACAGGAAGGCCGGACAGGCTACAGAAGGAGAAGCAGAGGGAGGCAAAGGGATAGGCAGTTGACAGAGGCAGTTGACAGAGGCAGTTGACAGAGGCAGTGATTTCTGCAGCAAAAATATCGAGATGCTGATTTTGTAAGCTAAGCCCAATTAGGACTAGAGGGTGTCGCTGAAGTAAAAGAGGGTGTCGCTTTAGTTGATCCCCAGAAAGAGAGGCGCAGGTCACATGACCACAGGGTGCAACGGGTGCCAAAAGCGGCCGCAAAGACCGCCGAAAACAGCGGCTGATGTCCCGAAATCTAGAGTTGTGAGGTAGTTTCTCAATGCTCGAGCTGCCAAGAAAACAGCTGATGATGGATGCCAATGACCGATGACCCTCCCGACCACAGACAATGCATAAGTCCCTACGATCATACTCAGCCATTTCCTAAGTGGCGAGTAGTTGATTGAAGACGATGGCTATCTGTTCACTTGGAAGATGACCCTGAAAGCTTCTCCGACCCTTGCCTGTAGAGCACCGATGAAAGCAGTTGCGTGCTGCTATGGCTACCTCCAAACCGCGGACAGACTCTGATGACCAACCTCATATCGGTCGGCTCGACTTCGATGCGAATCGCGCCACAGTACAGTCCAACGCTTCGCAACATGCTGGGCGAAGCTTGCTGGACGAGGATGTTGATTTCATGAGCGAGGTTGCCGAGGGCATCCTCGAGCGAGACCGGCAGAGGATGCGGCGCGAGGTCATCCGCACCTTGAGCTTGGTCTGCGCTGTGTTGAGCTGGTGAGCCTCGAACTTCGCATCTGTGATGACTTCTTCGTCGTCACCTCAACAGACCACTCGACTGACATGGCAGCCCAGTCTCTGCGCCGGCTCCATCACGAGCTACTCGCTCTATGCGCCTCGCTTCCTGACCCAGCTACGTTACACTCAGCTGCAGGTCAATGCAATCTCCATCGCCGCAGAGCTGGGTCTATACCTCTTCGTTCCTCTCTTTGGGTACCTGTGTGATCGCTACTCGCCGGCACCGTTGTCATTGATTGCCAGTTTCCTGTTTGGTGGTGGATATCTGCTGGCCGCATACACCTACAGGGCTGGACCACCGCCCAGCAGCGGAGCCCCCGAGGCGCATGGCCTGCCTTTTCCGCTCATGGTGCTTGCTTTTACCGCAGTAGGTGCAGGTACAGCATGCATGTATCTCTCCGGCGTAGCCACTTGTGCAAAGAACTTCAGCAGGGGGAAATACAGAGGGCTGATACTGGCATTGCCCATTGCCGCGTTTGGGTTGAGTGGCATGTGGCAGAGCCAAGTTGGTGCGCATCTTCTGTACGAGCGGCTGCCAGATGGGCAGAAGGGCGACGTGGACGTCTTCAGATACTTCTTATTTCTCGGAATTCTGTTGATTGGTGTTGGTCTCCTGGGTGCTCTTTGCCTCAGAATCGTTGATGAAGAAGAGCTCATCGACAGAGGAGTAGAGGAGCTCGAACGGAGCGGTCTGCTTCAAGACAGCGAACTCTTCAGTGCCCAGAACGGAAGAGGCCACCACAACTATGGAACCCTAAATCAAGACGACAGTGACGATGGCTCGGACGTGGAGGCTGATCTGTCAGAGTCGATGGTTCTGAAAAAGCAACAAGAAGAAGCACGACTGCGGCGAAAAAAGTCCTGGCTCCTCAACCACGCCACTTCTTCCTTCCTCTCCGACCGAACAATGTGGCTGCTCGCCGCCGGCTTCTTCCTCGTCACCGGTCCCGGCGAGGCATACATCAACAACGTCGGCACCATCATACCATCTCTCACACCGCGAACATGGCTAGGCCCACCACCCGCCGGCCACCCTTCTTCGCACGTCTCCATCATCGCCCTCACCTCCACCATCGCCCGCATCCTCACCGGAACAATCTCCGACATGTTCGCCCCTCAGCCAAATAACAACAACAACACCAACAATAACCACCAAGACACCGAACCCAACAGCACCGCCCCACCACCACCACTCCGGACGCCCACCAGCCTATCCCGGCTGACGCTCCTCCTCCCCTCCGCCATCCTCCTCTGCATCGGCTTCCTCACCCTCTCCCTCCCCTTCCTCGTCCCCAGCAACCCGGCCCTGCTCCCGCTCAGCTCCGCCCTCCTCGGCCTCGGCTACGGCGCCTGCTTCAGCCTCGTCCCCATCATCATCAGCGTGGTGTGGGACGTGGAGAATTTCGCGACCAACTGGGGCATCGTGGCGGTCATGCCCGCTCCGGGCGCGGCCTTGTGGGGGATCGTCTATAGCGTCGAGTACGGGGGTCATGCGGTAAGAGATGGAGATGGAGATGGAGGGGGTGGGGGAGGGCAGTGCTTCGGGAGAGCCTGTTTTGAGGGCTGGGCTTGGGGTTGTGCGGCCAGTGTGTCGCGTTGGCGGTGGTGCTTTGGCTCTGGGCTTGGAGGAGTTGGCGGAGGAGGGAGGTGCTTGTTTAGCTGGGCTTAGAGAAGGAAAGGGTAGGGTAGGATAGGGTAGAATCTTTTAGAATACTTGTACTTACTGAGAAAAGAGGAAAGGATGTAGTGATCTGACTTTTCTCTTGAGCCCGCTCGGATACCATTACTGGTAGTAAGTAGTAAGCAGCGCTGAGACCACACCCTTTCCGGTCCACGTCACTCCCTCCTGCAGTGTACCGTGCGTGCGTGCATACTCGCTCTGTCCTACAACGCAGCAGACAGAGAAGGAAAAGGAAAAGGAAAAGATATGAATCATCCGGGTTGCAATACAAAGATTTCCTTGAGAGTAAGACAATGACAGCTTTGAATTTTTGTTGGGGGGGGGGGGGGAAATAATGTACCACGACTCACTCACAAACGCCCCAAGTACTGAGTAACTTAGGTCAGTCGAACTCGCCCCTGTTGAAGACCCGGGCGGGTAATCTATCTTCGGCGCAGCGCAGCACAGCACCGCACCAATTTTGTCGGAGTATCTAACCTTAGCCAACCGCCAACAAGCAAAAACAAGCAAACAAAAACAAAAAGCCCACAGATGCCGCTGCCGGCAAGTTAAGCAAGAGGGGCAGATTCATGGAAGAGAGAGAGAGACATGACACCCGAATCCATCATTCTCATCCAAGCATGCTCCCGCACCCGCTCCCACAGACGCCAACGCTCGACCCATACCAAACCCAGCGCAAAACCAAATCAGAAGCAATTCAACGCATTCTTCTTCTTCTTTCGAGTACTCAACTGATTCATTCTCTCCTCCAGCTGCGCCCTCGCCGCCTCGGCCTCCCTCCTCTTATCCCGCTCCATCTCCACCGCCTGGATACTCTCCCGGGCATGCTTCTTCTCCCGCCTCAACGACTGCATCTCCTCCTCCGCCGACCAGGCTTTCTTCTTCCAGCCATCCATCTCGGCGCGGAGCTTGTTCGATTGGGTCTCCAGGTCGACCAGCGCTTCTTCCAGCGTCGCGGTGAGCTGCTTTTCGGCGTTGAGGTGTTTTTCGATGGTGCGGATGCGCGCTTCCTGGTCTTCGATCAGTTGAATTTGCTGGCTTCCGTTTGCGGGGATCTCTTTGGAGGCGTGGCGGGAGGGTGGGGGGGAGGTCGAGGCGTTGGAGGTGGGGAGGTTGTTGACCGCGGCAATAGAGGGCAGGGCAGGGAGTGCAGGGAGCGGTGGGAGTGGAATTGCTGGTGGCGGTGAGGGCAAAGACGCCACCGAGGCAGATTTGCGTAGATTCGAGGTCATGGAGTTGCTTCGATTCTGACTATCAGCCGGGAGAGGAGATTGCGGTCGGTGAGCTGACTTCATTGTGTTGGTGCGTGAGGTAGGGTCAACGTCATTGCCGCCCTCACGCTGAGCGTCGAGCTCCTTCTCCAGAGCAACGATTCTGGCTTGCGCCTCGACCAGTGCTTGGTTGCCCTGTTGTTGGATGACAGAGAGCCGATTGTGATGATGATCGAAGCTGGTCTCGATCTGCTGTTCGAGCTCTTCAATGATGCGAGCGTTGTTTTGCTTCTCGATTGTAATGCTCTCAATCATGGCATCGCGCTTCCTGATGATCCCGTCCTTCTCACGAAGAGACTCTTCGTGGTTTGCGATTTCTTCTGCAAGACTACGAATCCTTGCCTTGTAATCAGCTGTTGATTCGCTAGATCGATGTAACTTGGGGTTCTGGTCGCGCTGCTCCTCGAGCTGTTTTTCAAGTTCAGCATTGACTCTGGTTAATCTTGCTTGTATTTCTGTGGCATGCGACTTTTCTTCCATGAGATCTTGGATGTGACTATGAAGCATGTCAACAGAGGTGGCATGACCTAGCACGCTCCCTGCACGGCTTAGAAGGCTCTGGAGATCGGTGCGAGATTTTTCGAGCTGTGTGTTCAGTAATTTCACGGCTTGTTCATGGTTCTGTACCAGCTCTTCTCGTTGGTCATCCATTTCTGCCATCTGTCCGGCGTGTGAGAGCTTCATCTCCTCCACCTTGATATCGTGGCTCTCATGCAGCGATTTGAAACCTTGCTTGTAAGCCTCGACGGCAGCTTTGTGATGAGCGGCTTCCTTTTGGAGATGTGTGATTTGCTCGCTACGGGAGACCAGTTGTTGATCCTTTTGGTAGAGTTCCTTTTCATGCTGTGTAATCAGTTGCCGCATCGAGCTGTTTTGCTGCTCTAAGCGAGCTGCTGAAGATTTGTAATTTTCGATGTCGTGCTTCAGACTGTCAATGAGCTCAGTGTGCCTCTCCCGCTCGACCTGCATAACTTTTGCTGCTGCTGCCCGCTTGAAGGCATCTTGACTGGTGCCACCATGCTCTGCTCTGATTGCTTCGAGACTAGCCATAGAAGCCTCGAGCTCGGCTGTGGTACTAAGTAGTTTCTTCTCCGACGCCTGTGCGAAGTCCACCGCAGCTTTGTGCTTCGCCTGCCACTCAGAGATCTCCTTCTGCAGTTCCGAGTATTTCATGCTGTCGTCTCCGGCGCCGACCTTGACAGGTTGTGGATATGCAGGCCCGTTTTCATTCAGATGCTTCAACGACCGGATCTCGGCGAGCAGTTCTTCTTCACGGGATGCCCGACTTTCGTGCAACGATCTAATTTCATTCTCGTTTTGAATCAGTTGGTCCCGCATCTGTGATACCATGGAAAGATCCACCGGCGAAGAGCCCTTCAAGCTGTTTCGTTCGCGGGTAAGGCCCGAGATGATTGTCGTCTTTGCCTCCATTTCTCTCTTGACTGTCTTCATCTCAGCCTCAAGCGATTGAATGCGCTCCAATCGTGACTGCAACTCATGACTGGCAGCATTCAAGTGAAGCTCTGCACTCTCCATCCTGTTTGGTTTGCCTTCAAACTCTTCAGAAACGAGTGATTTCAGGGACGCCAATGCTCGATACGCACGATCTGTCACCACAATATTCTGCGACGTCCCTAGACGAATGACTGGGGAGATGTGACCAGGTGAAGGAGGAGGGTGAATTTTGTTTTTCTGGATCTCGGCCTTCAACGCCTGCACCGTCGCCAGAGTTTGTTGATGCTCGGCCTGAAGTTGTGCATACTGCTGGGTCACTAGATCCATGCCATGTTCATGCTCGGCAAGCATTCGCTGAAGCTTATCAACATCAGGTGAAGTGACATCATCACGGGGGTGCAGTTCTTGGGACGATTGAGTTGTGTCCGCAGCATCCACAGAGCTAGTCTCCTCCGCTAAGGACAACTCAGATGATGGTGATCGCGACGAAGGCAGAGGCTTGCTGGTCTCTGGCTCAATGCTCTTCACTTCCCCAACAAAGGAAGTTGATCGAGACATCGGTTGTGGTGATGCAACGCTAGCAATAGGAGGATGACGAGCCTCCTCAACGCCGTCTTGCATTTCTGCAAGAGCACGGAGGGCTTCCTGGTACTTGGCAGATAGAAGATCAAATTCGTTCAAAGTGTTCTCATGTTCCAGTCGAAGGTCGAAGAGCTCAGAAGTGACATTTTCAAACTTCTCGGCCATGTGCTTGGCCTGTGCAGGGCTAGGTTGCACCATGCACCTGGAACATGCAGTGGCTCTTGCAAGACTTGCAAGGTCGTCTCCTTGTACAGATGCGCTGGCATCGGCCTCCACCTCGGGGGAGACGAGGAGGTCGTCGTCGGATTCTTCCGGCAGCGCAGTCTCCTCTGCTTCTTTCAAAGTATCCAACGAGTGTTTGCTGATCAAACCATAACTAGAGGAACGCGCGATTGTTGGCAAGGGCTCGACAGCTGCAATTCTTCGATTGTTTTTCTGTACATGGTCCAGCTCGTATAAGAGATGGTCAAGTTTTCCGAGGCTTCGCTGGCGATCAACAACATGTTCAAGTCGTTCGACTTCACGCTGCAGAATTTCCATGTCCTGATCTGCCTCTGCGAGACGTTCCTCGAGCGTTGAGATGTAGTCCTCAGCATTCGATTCGCTCTCACGAATGCGGGCAATCTCTTTGTGCAGCTCAACGATGATTGCGCCATTCTTTTCCTCTCCAGAACTCTGTCCGTCGAGGCGCGCTTCCAGATCACGCAGATACGTCTCGGTATTGGTTTCGCGGTGCATGAGCTTCTGAACGCGAGAGTGCAGTTGCTGATTGATCGTATCAGTGAAGGCACATTTCGTCTCCTTTTCGAGCAAATTGCTCTCGGTATTGGCAAGCGAAGCTCGAGTGTTGGACAGATTTGATTCCAGAATCTGTATGGTCTTCTCGTACTCGAGCACCATTTGCTCAATCTGTTCTTGATTTGCCCGAGATCTTTTTAGGCGATCGACCGCAGACTCCCCAGGAATGTGGTTCGTGGTTGGATCCTCGCTGGGGTCACCAGACTTCGCTAGCTCCGAGATCACCTTAGCATGGCGTTGGCTGAGCGCAGTATAACCTTCTTGGACGTCAAGCAGCTGATTTTGAAGTTCGACTTCCCTGTCACTCGGTCGAACCATCCTTTCCTGTGGATTTGCATTCCTTCTCTCTGAGCCTTCGCTGCTATGAATCTGTTGCCGAAGAAACGCAACCTCTGCACGAAGCCTGTCAATAACAGCTTGCTTATCGCTGTCATCATTGACTTGTTGAATCCTGGGCTTGATCTGTATCGCTCGAGCGCGTTGTGCATACTGCACCGTGTTCAAAGTTTCACTAAGATGAAACTCTGCTGGGGTCACGCAGGCAATCATGTAGGTGATTGCATTTCCACCCAACGAATCTTGCAAAAGCCGTGTGAGCTTCGAATCTCTGTAAGAAACATGGGATCCCGCCTGGCGCGAAGACAACTGCGAAATTACTTTCCCAAGACTGGCAAGACCAGCGTTGATGGAGATACCCTCTCTTGCCCGCTCACCAGTGGCGCCAGTGTTCTTTAATCTCTCGCTACCAGCCAGGTCAACGAAATGCAGCTTGCTGTCCACGGTCACGGACGGCTCGCCATTCACCATTGCCTCCGTAGGCATCGACATGCGTTTCTCCTTCGAAGACGTGATAGCCGCCCGTGGTTTGCGCTGGATAAGGTTCAAGCTGAAAACGGCATGGGATCTCGAGGACTGTGCATTGATGGCTGTGGCATCTGTCTGTCTAATTGCAGAGCCATGATTGAGTGCTGACAACAGCTCATCCACACTATTTATCTCCACTTGATAGAGACCAGTAAGAATGATTCTGCCTCTGGGATCTTCTCTGATGGTGACTGTAGCTCGTTCATGTAAAGGGGTGGAGTCTGGTAACAACAGGTCCCGCAATTGTTCATTATAAATCTAGATCGCATCAGTCAAGAGTCATTTCCCGCGTATTAGGGAAACGCTACCTCCACATAAGTTGCTGTCATTTGCCATTTTTTATCACTGTCAGCTTTCGCAAAGTTTTGCTGAGCCCCGTTCATTGACGCTAATGAGTACCTTGTTGGGATTTTCAGGCCTGAGTTTTGACGACTGCTGGGAGCTATGCTGTTCAATACTTCAAAGAGGTGAGAGGCGGCTCTGGGAATGACACCTTGGTGTCTCGTTAGCCTTTGTAGCTCGCGCACGAACTAGGTGTCTTACCCATCACATGAGGATCATTTTGCTCTGAGGGTCCGGATGTGCCCATGGTGTAGGATTTACCAGACCCAGACTGTCCATAGGCCAATATGGAAACATTGTACCCTCGCACAAATGAGGTGACGCTGTCCTGTAGATAGCTCCAGATTCCTCTTTGATTAACCTCCTCCCCAAATACGTGATCAAAAACAAACAGCTTGCGTCCCTGTGGAGATTCGACTCCAAGACTCGTAGGAGTTGTGGATTGTACCATCGATCTTTGGAAGCGCTGTGGGATGAGTTCAAAGCCGGGATCGCCAGGCTTCAACGGTGGGCGGATACGGACAACTAACATATGGTATCAGCATTTCTGTATGGCATAACGATGAGACACTGTTATGACACACCAACTTTGACGGATGTCTTTTCTTCCTCGTCGGATGCCCCGCTCCCGCCTTCCTTGCTTTTTTCTGGCCTGTACATCAGGCTCTGTGGCCGTTGCTTTGACACACCGTCCGGTGAGCCCGGCGGAGACATCACCATCTTGAGACCCAGCACAAAACTGGCCGAGGGTCTCGAAAGAGCTCCTCTCACTGGCTGGCAAGGAGCTACCAGGCTGTGACAAACTCAGCTCTGGTACAAAGGATATACTGAATTCTCCAAGATACGGAAGTGTTGTGGCCCCCCAAACCTCATGCACGCAACTAAATAGGTACGTTTTGCATCCGTGGGGCCATTGAAAGTGAAGACGCCTTATCGATGGGTCGAGCAACTGGACGGCGAGGAAATGTCTAAGGCCCAAACTACGCGTAGATTTCGGGCTTCTCTCTAATTATTTCCAACGTAGCCTTGGACCGGCAAACCAAGAAACAGCCTGCGGCTCAAATGAGGCATAGTGGAAAACTTTAATACTACTAGCTAGCACTTCTGCATTCAGGGGTTAGTGGAGACCCATGGACTCACATGAGAAGATTGCATGTACATTCTATCTATGGAAGACTTTGCATAGTTATCTAATGATCCAAATTGTTGCGTGCAGGATTTGGTCGTGGTGTGCTTGGGCTTTGTTGTGGAAAGGAAAGAAGTGAAATGAATCGGCTCCGCACACTACGGCATAAATGCATTGATTCTCATCCCAGCTGCCTGTATCTCGAGTCGTGCTTTGCGGTTGAAAGCTGCACCGGTGTAATAATATCTAGCGGATGCTTAGGCTTCAAAGGCGTAAGCTCAACCCCGCGAAGCTGTTTTGTATTCAACGCAGTAGGCTTGATATGAGGGCATCCATACCTTCATCCACTCTGAAGTTTAGGTATCTTGCAGAACTGGTCTGTGCCAATATCTACCGCTAAGTTACCCATTAGCTAATTTCTTAAGCAGTTGGCCGCGGGCTTCATGCAGTCTGGATGATCTATCGGCGATCATGGGTGTTTCACTGTTTCACCCCCGGCATTTGCCGTAAATTAAAGTTCCTATGTTACCACGTCAAGGATGTCCATTGGTAGATCCCATTCACAGCCTTTCATACTAGCTACTTAGGAGATAGACATGCCCAAACATCGTGGCTGGTGCTTATGATTGTGGCCCCTCCCAAATGTATGCTGGACTTTGATAAACCTTTGGACTTAGCGGATCTTCCCCCTTTTTTTGCCTTCACAAGGATCACTGTGTGAATGATCTTGCGGTCAAATGCCTCGTGGAACCGTCAATTTTCTTTGAAGAGTCTATATTCTAAAGTATGTGCCTGCAAGGATCGTCCTTTTGTATGGAATAGTGTTGAGCAGATTGCCGTACTGCTCAGTTTGAAGTCGAGGTCTCGCGTTTGTTCAAAGCCTGATGCAATCGTCTAAGTAGATGACATACCGCTGGCACACAACTCTTATTGGAAGGAGTATTCGTTTATGAAGCGGTCTGACACCGTTGTTGTATCTCTTCAATCATCAAGCGCCTGTTCTCGGACAAAAAACCTGCCTAAGTCAATATCACAAGGTCGTTGACTTGCTGAAGGACATTGCCCCGTGCAATATTTGCTCTTGTCTAAGCATTGTGGGTAGAAAGCAAGATTAGACTCTCTGTAGAGCAGGTGATTTCATCGTATTACCTATCACTATGCAGAGGAGATGCTTACGCCGCCGACAAAAATTCATTGATCGATCGCACGAACGTGATCAAGCCGCCCTCCCAGGATTATTACAAAGCACCTTGTTGACTCCAGAGTTGCTGTATTCCCGGTTGATAGGAGTACCTAGTAACATCAATGCTGTGATACTTCCCAGCCTGCGCATTCGGCCTCGGCTGTCCCCGTTGTACCAAACTAATTCTACCAAGTTACCCAAATATTATGGTCTAGTACTAACTAGTACTAGAAGTACAGTGAAGGTGGTGCCAAGAATTTCCAAAATCAATCTCCAGAATCAGATTTTCTATCGTAACAATCCTTGGACCTCAACCGCCGTATTCGCTCAATTTACTGCCGAGACGGCTCCCTTGACTGTGACCGACACATCTAGCTCACAATCATGGACGACGTCGTAGAGGCTCGCACCAAGACCAAAAGACGAAGACTCAATAAAGATGATCCAGCCCATCCAATACTGTCGGCAAGCGACTTGCATCACTTGCTAACTACTGAGCAAAGCTCGCAGTCAGACATGAAGATTGCTGTGAAACAATTTGAAGAGTTTCTCAATGCAATACGAACATCCGAACACAATGAAGACAGAGCCAAAAAGCTACAAATCCTTAAAATCTACTCTGAGGAACAGGTCCCGTCAAACCAGCAAGTCAAGATCTTCCCAGATATCTTCTCCATATGGTTCTCTGCACTGGAGACCAATAACGAGTCAATGCTTTCCTCGTTGCCATCAGTTCTAGCACTCTACATCAACACTATTTCAAGCCACCTTCAATTTCGAGCCATTGGGTTGTCTTTGTGCAAATGTTTTTTGTTGGAAGCCAAATATCGACGATTAATCGATCGTGGTCTCACTGCAACGAAAACCAAGGAACATCTCATCTCTCCATGCTTGCGATTGCTAACAGAAATTGTTAGCTTTGATGGCGGCGAAGTTGCCACTTTGCTTCACTCCAAGCAAGACACAACCTTTAGGCGACTAGAAGTATTCTTGGATCAGCGTAGTCTGCATCATGATGGAACCGAAGATGCGCGACAGAAGCCAACGCTTCGACATATCGCACAGGGCTATCTTCTCGCAAATCTGAAGTTTCAGAGCGCCAGCGCCAAAGCGGATATAATTGCCCAAGGAAAGATTCTGCGGTCTTGTCTCCAAGGTCTGAGAAATGACCCAGCAGACATCATTTGCGATACTTTGAACGTCCTGGAGAACGAGATTGTTAGATCACCTACTTTGACAAGGGGCATCAAGAGCCGTCTCTTTAATAGTTCGAACTTGTCCTCGCTGGCCAATCTATACTCCGTCCAAGACGCCGTTAACGAGAAGGCCCCTGGTAGAAGCGTTCGCGAGCAAGTCGACGTCTTGCTTCGACTTGTCTGCACACAGCAAGAACTTGGTATCCTACTCCCCCAGAACGGGTGGTATCCTCTAGGGAGCAATCCTGATAGGAATCTGGCGATCGCAACAGATCCGGACAAGATTGATGTGACTGTCGCTCCGTTTCCCGGTTCTAATCACAAGGATAGGTTTGCTGTTAGGAATGGAGTACTCTCCACCTTCATCCTGTCTCTGAGACCCGAGCGGGACAAGCTTCAAGCTTCACTACTGCTAGATATATTTCGTGCCGCCCCTGAGCTTGTTGCTGATTATTTCTCGAAGAAGAGCAATTTTATTGCGGAACCGAAAGACACATCTGAATGGCTTGGACAATCTGCGTTTCTGTTCTCTGTCATTCAGCTCCCTGTGCCAGCATATTGTGGCTCGCAAGATATCTATCCTTCCTCACCACCACCCTCCTCTGTAGTAGTTGAAAGTATACTCCCAAGACCCCTGGATCGTACGAACACTACACGATCTCTGAACCTGAATCATGAGGTCATAACATTGTTCGCTGTTCGAGCTGTGACGGTAGCTTTTCAGAAGCTGAGAAGAGTTTTACAAATCTATCACGCTGCCTCGATCCATATCGCGGCATGGAAGCAATCTGCATCAGACTTGTTGTCGGCTTTCAGTCGGAGATGTCCGTTGGCCAAGGATGTCGTATCTACTTTTCAAAGGACTTCAAAATCGGACGAACAGTTGCGCGGCTGTATTATCGAATTACTTGCAAATTACTATCAAGTCCTACCACATCTAGTTCTGCTTGAGAAATTTGACACGTCTATGATTTTGATTGACGCTATCAAGAGGGTCGCGGATGATGTTCATGACCAGTCTCTAAGGTCTTCTCGATTCTCTGAGCTAGAGTATCTCCTCAAGATAGCTCAGATGTCGCCGGATACAAGATGGTGGCAACAGCCAGGTTAGCCGTGACCCTAAGTTCTTGAGTTGCATTGACGAGATGTAGACTCTCTACGCTACTCCGCTTTCATCTCGATTCTAGAAGCTGTTCTCCAAGCAGACGATCACTCAATCCATGCGATATCGTCAATCAAACATCTGTTAGGGAGGATAGCAACAGAGGATGGTTTGGTTCGTGATATGAAAACTTTTGACTCGCTTATGATCAGCTTGACTGCAGGTCAAGACTGGAGGGCGAGTCATAAAACATTCTTGTTCTTTGACAATTGCGCCTGTCGTATCGCACGACAGCCTGTTCACTACGAAGACTTAGCAGCAGAAATGAAAGGTAGCGGTTCTGCAATATGTTTGCTGCCATTCTGTGTCCTAGAGCAGTGGCCGTTTGTGACTGAAAATGAGGACTTAGATGATCAGAAGAACATCGCAGAGTGGATTTCTCGACTGCTCGCCCTTCTCATACATGCTGGTGAGGACCGTGATGTGATGCAGCAGATTCACAGTCAGATACTGGGTTCAGCAAAGGATAGAGCGCTAAGGAAAATCCTCACGAAAGCTTACCAAATGATGACGAAGGAGAGGGTTGTTGAACTGCAGCCTGAGTTGATAGGAGAGGCCGCCGATGTTTCTGATACCTTATCGGATAATGGAGCTTCTACTGCACGCGTCGCCCCTATGGTAACCTTCGAGCCCCTACCCAGCAGATTGGAATCCATGGAAGGACTAGAACGCCTGAACCGCGAAGACATAGAAGAGGTTGTTGCGAACGGTCGACTGGGGCAACTCTGCCGAACTCTTTCTTCGGGTGTCGAGGAGACCCGCAGGCAAGGATTCATGACCCTGCAGGGAGTGATCAAGCAGATTGAGGTGCGCAGTACTACCTGAGGTTGCCCGAGCCCACTGACCAATTTTGCAGCTGTCTAGCTATTCAGAAAAGGGGCCTCTGTTCGTCTTGATGGGGGAATTCGCAGAGACAGCTAAATTAGCTGGATTGTCAACTCCATTCGCTTCTATCTTCACCGAGTTTGCGGCTGAAGCTGTGGAGATTTTGAGCTTGCCTTCACATTTTATGTACGGAAAAATCAACAAGCTCTTACAAAAGGGACCAGCTTGGAATCTGTCTAAATTTGCCACCTACTGGACCGAAAAAATCCTCTTATGCGAACCAGAAGATGATAATGGCCACCTTCCCGAGACAACTTGGCTTTTAAATCTCCTACTCCGCGGTCTGCGCGATGACCAGGTCTGAACAGCATTCTCTCGTTAACTATAGCTTCAAAACTGACGAGCGAAGCAGGATATGGAAGTGTATCGTAGAAGCAAAATTTTCGAACGTGTTCTCGCATTCTGTGGGTCAAAATCGTGCTCAGATACACATCGCAAGCAGACACTAGAGCTTATCCATCGCTGCATAAAGCTGGGCGGTGGGTTGACCCTGATCACTCGATTAGGAATCGAAAACTGGTTTGTCGTTGAACAGGCAGATGGCAAAGATACTACTAGTAGTAGGGAAATCATCAAAGAGCTTGGACAGCAGCTTGGCGATTGTGTTGATTCCTCAGTCGCACAGGCATGGAAACTTCCCGCTAACTTAGTTACTCCATTCATGGATGTATCATAGACACCCAGAGATAAGGACCGAATATGATTGTTATATACTTGCAGAGTAGGCAATCGGGGTGACCAGGCCACGAAATCAGCATACACTAACACCCTCCATTCGAGGCCTGGACTTGACATATTCCATGTAACAACTGTAACACGGATACCGACAGGTGACCCCTCAATGAATCTGGAGCTCTTTTGGAGTACCCTGCCAATCGCGAACACTCAAAGTAGATCTGCATGAGGAACTGCTTCGGGTACACAATCATTCACGTACAACATTGAGCTGCTAAAGATCGGTTGCCGTATTTAGTGAGTAACAGGCTCAGATTCAGCTATAACACTGCGAAACCTGCTCTACCAATACAAGATAGCCGACAAGGGCGAGACGACGCAAAGCTTCACGCGAAGCAAGACTCCTGATCATCTTATGAATGCTCGATAGTCTCAAGGGCATTCCGTGCGGCTGTTCTTTGTCTTGTCTCTGTACATGCGCCCGGTTGCAGCAGCAGAAGAAGAAGAAGAAGAAGAAGAAGTGAACGACGCTCTCTGATTCAGACACCGTTCCACCTCCCAACAGCTACGTTTTCCAAACCTTGAATATCCAGCATAATCTTCTGTCATGCTTTTGTGTTACACGGTAGAGCAACTCCTGCGACTTCGTGCCTCTCCCTTAGTATGCAAGCCAGAAGACTTTCCGCCACTCGAGGAGTGGATGGGGTATGCCAACCTGCAATATCCCTTCCCAGTGCTGTACTGACCGAGTCTTTAGTGCGCCCCAAGAGCAGAAGCAAAGAGGCCTCGCTCCATCTCGTGGACGCTTAGATGATCACACAAATCAGAGTGAGCAGTCACAAAGGAGGCCTAGTCTCATTGATAGTCATCATATCACTAAGAGATCAAGCACAGGTAAGATCATGAGGATGCCATGCTGCTTGACCTGCTACTGAATGAGTCGAGCAGCTCCTGAGGATATCATTCTAGGCCCACCGAAGACCGCCTTCGCTTCTGCAAATTCTCGAAATGCCCCCAGATCCTCCGGCGCCGACACATCTGAAGAAATACCTGCTTCTACCAAACGCTTCTCGTTTCATGAGCGGCTTCCAAGAGATCGTGACATTGTCGATGGCGAGAAGAAAGAAGGTAAATATAATGGAGCCAATAACAGACGGCAGGCTAGAGATGATCGCGAAGACTGGCAAAGCAGCAGACAGCAACGCCACTACGACCAAGAGGAGGGAGATCGAGGCTCAAGGAGAAATGGTGATAGAGACAGACCCCGATGGGAAAAACAATCCAAAGACAAAGACTCTGAGGGAGGGGCTGACACGAAACGTCTGTCTCGAGATGCTGGACGACGCGAAGGTCGCGGTAGATTTGAGCAGCCATGGTTTAGGGGTGATAAAGTCCAAGAGGGAGCCGATGAAGCCACGAAAGCCTTGAGCAAACAAAACGAATGGCGTCGGGAAAAAGGGTCGGGACGGGGGTCAGAGTGGGATCGGCCTTCAAAAGCAGAGCAAGATCCGGAATGGATGGACGCGACAGGCTCAAACGAGCCTAGGCCAGCTCATACGCAAGAAGAGTTCCAGCGTTGGAAAGAGGGCATGAAGGCTGCGGCAGAAGGGCGCGACAAGATACCTGAAAGGCAGGAGATGATACCGCAACCAGAGATCAAGAAGCCAGAGCCACCACCGATGCCTGCATTTCCTGAAATTGCGGACGTTGAGTCAGGGATGGACAAGTTCTTTGCCTCCTACGGCGAAAGAAAGACTTCTAGCGAGCAGAAGCCGGCAGAGGTGAAGGCACACAGAAAGCCAAGATTTGCTGCTTTGTTCAGCCCGCAACCTGAGGATGGTCTAAAGGATGCTTCTCTCACGAACTCAGCGGAGATGACACGAACATCTATGATGCCGACCCCTGAAGTTGCTGCAGCTCCTGTAGATGCCAACAAAGCGGACCAAGAGCATTTCCAGAGAGTTTTACAGATGCTCGCAGGTCGCAGTAGCAACAACACGCCACAGTCAGGCGCTGGTCCGAAGCCTTCGAAGCATACAGCTAACCCCGAGCGACCTCAGAGAGCTCCAGAAGAACAACAATCGATTCTTGCAGATATTCTTGATGAACGAAATCAAGCAAAGGCGCAAGGAATCCTCCCCGAAGATCGAGTATCTACAGGGAAGAGCGAACTGCTCTCGCCGAAACCTAACGAGACGCAACCGCGTGTTCCAAGGGAGCCAACGCCAAACCGAGATGCTGATCTTTTATTGCGATTGATGCAACAATCTAGGATTGCACAAGATTCGGAGCCCTCCCAAGTTCCCAAGCCCGAAGCTTCAAGGTCAACCACAGAGTCATTGCCATTACCGGGGAGTATCTCGCGGCAGCTGCCTGTGGACAGAACAAACAACAATCCTCCAACCTTCTTCGATGACCCAGCTATCTCCCAAATGCACAGGCCCGATCAAGCAGCACCACTACCAAGAAGAGAAAGTCAGCAGCGCCGGCCCACCAATGGTCTCACCCCAGCCTTCTTCGACGAGCCCTTCTTCAACAACCTCCGTCAAGTAAATCAGCAAGCGATGGCTAACGCAGACTCCGGTACCACCCAACCGCGTGCTCCGACCCTCCCTCCCGGGATGCAACGCCCACCCGGCTTCGAGCACATTCCCGCACCCCTACCAGGTTGGCAGAACCCAGTCGCTCGCGCCATGAACTCCGCATACGCTCCCGGTCCTCCGCTCATGCAGCCACCTCCTCATCAGCAATTTCCACCGCAGCAGCGTCAGCGCAAATACACTGGAGACGGGTTCGGACCGGGATGGCCGCTTGGCACGGTACCGCCGCCACCGGGTTTCATGGGTGCTCCTCCGCCGGGTCCTCCTCCTGGCTTCCCGAATATGCCCCCGCTTGGTAGCGGTGTTAGGGGCGTGGTGGTAGGACCGGCTGGTCAACCGTTCGGTGAAGGTGGGAATGGGATGTTGCCGAGGCATGTGATGGAGATGCTTGCTAGCGGGCAGAGGGGAGATGGTCGGGAGGGTGGAGGAGGAGGAGGAGGCGGAATGCCTGGTGCCCACTATCGATAGGATAGTTGGAATAGTACGAGTTTGTCTCTGTTCTGGTGTGTCAATGGCAATGTATGAAGACAGAAAAAGCCTGCTTGTACGCAGGGTATGAATGGAGGGCGGCAGCAAATCCTGACATGCGATGGTGATGCCATCAAGGCTACAACAACAAGAACTACAGATGGCCACCATCACAATGCCTATGCATGTCATGTCTCATTATCCCATGTCCTCCTGTCTATCTTCCTACAGTTCTCCAGAGCCCCAAGCCCAAACGGCACGACCTTTCCTTCAGCCCCCGTCTCCCCTCGCACTCAAGCCACGTAGGCATAATTATTCCCCTCCGTCCTCTCCATATAATCCTTCTCCATCAACCTAAGCAGAGTCACACAGGCACGAGTCAGCCGAAATAAAAAATAAAAAAATAAAAATCTCCTCATCCCCCCAAGCAGCGAACCCGCAGATGGAAAAAATAAAATAGAAGGGACAGGGGGGGCGAAAAGAGCAAGAACAAGAAAGTAGACAAGGAAGGACCATACTTATCGATATTCTTCTTGATATCCTGCGGCTCGAGGACGCCGCGACTCCTGGTCGCCTTGATGACCTCGGCCACCAGCTCGGCATGGGCGATTGTCTTGCGGCTCTTCATGATGCGCACGATGGCGGCCTGGGTCTCGTAGTGGCGATCCGCCGCGACGCGCACATGGGTCTCGCGGTTCTCCTCCTTGGTCTCCTTCAGCTGGATCTGATTGATCTTGATGCGCGTCTTGGCGTCGGTGAAGTGCGCGTTGTAGGAGAAGGTGTCGGTCGGATTGACGTCGCGGCCCTTGGGGTGTTTGGTTAGGACGCGGTATTTGGCGCAGGCGAGGGATTGGAGGGTTCGGTCGAGTTCGGCGGTGGGGAGGGAGGTTGCGGATTGGATGTCTGTGTAGGAGAGGGTGGCGTTTTCGGCGAGGTCGTTGAAGAGGAGGAGGACGATGGCTTGGAAGCCAGAGACGACGATTTCTTTGCGGATGCCTTTCGGGTAGTAGGCTTTCAGTTGGCAGTGGGCCAGGGCGTGTTTCCAGTGGAGTTTGCGCCCGCTGTGTTTTTGGTGGTAGTAGGATTCGAAGTTTGAGATCAGCTTGGAGATTGCTGGGGGAATGGTGACGGAGACGTCGGGGTAGGATGGCCAGGCTGCGGATGAGAGCACATTCACGGTGAGATCGGGGCCCGATCCTTTGGTGCCCCGGTCGTTTTGGAGCTGGTTGTAGGAGACCATTTCGTCTCGAGCTAGGTCCATATCTTTGAACATGGATTCTAGGTTGTGCGTGAAACCGGCACCGCACTCGGTCTTCAGACGACCAAGCATGTTCCGTTCAGCATCGTTCGACGCTGAACGGCCCATCAAGAGCCGACGAGCCAGATCTTTCTTGTAGAAGGCCTCAAAGACCGCTTTTCCGTGCACAAAACGAAACAGGTCGAGTGCCAAGGAGAGATGGTGATTGATCTCAGCATCTTCATCAACTCCTTTCTCGTCATCGTAGTCATCTTCCACAGGCCCCAGTGTGTCCTTTGTGGCTGGAGCCAACTTGGGAATCGCCTTCACACCGCCTTTCAACAGCTGATCCACATGTTTGGCAATCATCTCTCCCGGTTTTGCATTATCAGTATCCCAATTAGCCTGTGTCTTTTTGGTCTTGTTGATGAAGTATTCGAACGACTTGTGAAGACCGTTCCCAATGGTTTCATTGCCATGAAACGAATATCTGTGGAAGTGGTCAAGCTTCTTCTTAAAGTCAAGCAGTCGTACCACCATCTCCGACTCTCTCTTCTCGTCAAAGACGATGGCGCAACCCTCTTCACGTATGTATTGATCAAATACAGGCCCTAGGTCATTACCTTTTTGGATGCGTTCCAGTAGATAATACACACGCTCCAAGGAAGTGGCATCGTTGTCTTCAAGCAGCTTTAGCACTGAGTCTTCGTCAACTAAGAAGTCATGGTGCATCTCCACCACCAAATGATCGAATTGCTGCGCCAGACCCGCTCGTGTACTGCGATCGAAGCTATAAAGATCACAGCGCGTCATTTCACGCGCAAGCAGTGCATGGCTGTCGTTGGCATAGCTTGAAAGATCGCCATTACCAGTCTTCTCGGCTGCCCACTTGTCAAAGAATGTCTCAGACAGTTTGCTGAAGCTGGGTTCAAAGTCGCTGAAATAAATTCCCAGGTCGTGAAACATTGCTATCGACTTCTTGAGTAGTATTGATGATCTTTCATCTCCTCTTGATTTTCTGTCCAAATCGATCACTTCGAGGACGCCTTGCATGATCTTGCCCTTGAGATTCTCGTCCTGGAAGACGCGAGTTTTAAATAAGATGTATCCCATTTCGATGATCCCTGGATTCTCCGGGTTGCGCAGAAGATAGGTCTGATCCAAATAAAAGAATATGGACCGTATAGTAACCAATCTACCACTCCATGTGCTCCAGGCCTCCAAGTAGCTTGATAGGAGGTCGACATTTGACAGCTGTAATGCTTTCCCCGCCAGACCTTCCCTTATCTTGCCGGCCAGATGACTCTCGCATCTTGCCCGCAGACGTGTGTACAGGTCGGGCGACTTTCCTTGCCGACAGAGATTCTCCGCCCCCTTATAGAGTTCTTCTAGTGACTTCTTCGCATTCTGGTCGCCAAAAATTGTGGCTAGAGCTGTATCCAACTGGTCCCAGACATTCTGGAAGTATTGCTCAGGGTCCGTCTTGGGAGTCGTGCGAAGATTCTTCACTACCAGTCTCTTTGCTCCATGATGAGGCGTGAAGGCGGTCGGTCGGGAAGAAGCACTGAGAGATGCCTTCCTGGGGTAAGACGATGAAGATGGAGGAGAACCTGTCAGATCAATGACTCCATTCATATGAGGCTTTGTTGTCGGGAAGTTGTACATCTCCAGAGAACTGCTCGAGGGTGGGGATAGCTTTTGCTGTTGATCAGGTTGACTCAACAACGCTTGATTAGCCACAGTAGACCTTGAGTCGTTCTCAGGATGGTCGGCGTGGCAGTTCTGGTGCCGGAATAGATCCGAAAGTGATTTTTGACGGTGGGTGTCGCTATGGCGATTATCTGTGAGCTTTCGCCTTTTGACAGGCTTTCTCGAAGGCTGCATCGATCGGCATAAGGGACCTTGGGGGAGAGGCAAACGAGGGAGGAGAAAGGTATAATGCACAGGACTCGATAGGAGATGGGGAGCGAGAAAACAGATGGAACACGAAGTCTAGAGAATGGATGATGTGAGTTGTTCGGAGATAATGCATGCCGGACATAGGAGAACGGAGCTTCAGGGAGTCAACTAGACAGCAAAACATTGACAGTACCAGCTACGGACTAGATACAGATCGTGTCCTCATGTGCTCTACATTTGCTGCAAGGGAAAGGTGTTCATTTCTCGATGTACTATACGTCTCGCTACTTTTGGAAACTCGCTAATCCTTTAGACTCGTGCTGATCTTGGTTATTCTTTGCTTGCTACTACTGAGTAGCCAACTGCCCAGCTGACAGATGCCTGCTGGGCGTGCTAAAGCTCGAACAAGCACCCAGCTTCATCCTGCCAACATGTGACCGACTTCACGAGAAGCCGTGTCGGACGGGGCCCTTGTCATGATCGGACTCCTCGAACTGCCTCTTCGTTAGAATATGGTGCTTGAGATAGTCCAGGGAGCCTCACCTGGATGAAATCCGCCATCGACATCAGCGCAACGTACGACTTTACCACGTTCTCCAAGACGGCACGGGAGCCTGGAGCAACTTCCCCACCTATCCCTCGGTACCGTTTGAATGCACCGACCATGTTCAGTCGATTTTCAGTCAGGAAGTTCCGCATCTGATACTGACTTTGCTGGTTCTGTGGCCCTCGGCTCAAGAAGACCGAGACCAGCAGACGGAGCACGGAAGACAGCAATTCATAGTAGATTTGTAGTGCCATAGAAGTGTCAACATCTGTGGTGGTTAGCTGATTCGACCCGGAATCAGTCTTGGTGGGCATTCCCTACCAAATCCGAGGTCAGGATCGGCCTGGCACAGCCTTGAGTCCCTAATTGCCTGCAGCAGGCCCGCGTCGAGGAGCTGTCCAGCACCATTGCGACTCCTTGAGATCTCCAAAAGCAACGCCAATTTTGCTTGCAGTACCTTGATCACGGATGCGCGGTCTATATGAAGGTCAGTATATAGGGTAATTTCTAAAAATGAGTTGATGAAGAGAAACCTTTGATATCCGCTTCTAGAAGATCTTCAGCAATCAGCTTGACACCGTCGAGAAGAACTTCCAGCATGTTGATATTGACAAGGGTGTCAACCACGAAAGCTGACTTTTCTTGCCTCGTAAGATCCGTGAAAAGAGCCAGCAGTACTAGTGCAGGGAGACGACAGTTATCTTGTCCATTTTCTGCATCATCGGAGAGCGTGTTGATCAACGGCACACCTGCTGCTTTAATGCAATCCGCACAATAACGACGGGCTTTACTGTCGTTTTTTGATAGTGTCTTGACTTGATTCAGGTATTGTGCGCAGATGCCATAAAACAATCCACGAAGCGTCGGTGTTTTGCCTGGCGCAGAAATACTGCCAACGCAAATTCGAAACACCTGCAGCTGCCTGTCGATAGCGACTGTGCTCATTCGTCCGTGCATGCTTGATGACGGAGTACTTGCTATTGATGCGACCAGTACATCTGCAAGACGGAGCAGCTCGCTAGTCTCCTCGGGTTCATCAATCAGGTAGGTATCAAGTTTGGGGGTGATCAGTTGCATTGCGTTGAGGGCAAATTGTATTTGAGCCGCCGAGTCTGTTGGCCAACATTGAACGGTGACGATGACTACTTCGACCCACATCCGCAATGCCTGCCTTCTCGCCATACGGACAAGGGTCCATTGATTTGATGCTTTCACAAAATCAAGCAGGATTGCAGCTTCCACCTTCATCTGCTCCTCTTCATTGGACGATCTGGCTTGGCCTTCTTGTGATGACGGTGTGAATGATAGCTGGACAAGGTCGTCTACAGCTTGCAAATCGTAAACAACTGTGGATTCGTCCGTAGAGGCAGTGATACAAGACGACAGATCTGGCAATGTAAGCGCGCGTAATTCTGGCAAGTCCGGTTGGCGCCCTATATCGATGTTTGTGAAGTCAAACAAATCGAATATGGAAGCATGAGCTATCGTTGTTCCAGAAATGGGATCTACAGAAGTACCTTGCAGGGTCAGAAGTATCTGAGCTCTCAGGTGCGTAGACTTCGTGTGCATCGCCGCCCTCGTTTCAGTAACTGCATAGTCATATAAGAAGTTTCGATATCCCAAAAACTCTGCTAATGCATCTGCTGAGTCTTCGAGCCAGAATGCTGGATCGGAGAGAAAACGACCATTCCATGGCGTATTCGGCGATATCAAAGTCTGCTTGGCAAATTGGGACGGCAAGAAATGAATTCTGCGAAGTTCCGTTACCAGCACGGCAGAAGATAATGGCGAGGTCCAAAGCTGACGCAGAATTTGAAGTGCTGACGTTTTTATATGAATCAGCCAGGCTACGAACGTGTTATCTTCGCCATCAGGGAAGTTCTCAGCAATGTCTATTATTGCGTTGCACAGGGAACGACCATCATCCATGGGACTACCGGGTCGAATGACCAAGGAATCACCAACCCGAGTAAACCCAAGGAAGAGATGTGCAACACCAGGAAGCTCTGATTGTGTAGCCAGACAGGTATTCAGAAACTCGAGCACACCATCTTTGATGGTATAGCCGGTTGAGTCAGACCCGTTCTCAAGCTCGCGCACGTCAACTTGCATCCTGGCTGCAAGCGCCATTGACACTAGATCAGAATTGTCCTCGTTGCCGAGCATGTCAACGATCTTTCTTGATTTGCTCATTTTACCGCTTGTTGTGACAACTGGAGCGTTTAGCTTTGTAGAGCAGGAGAGTTTCTCTAAGAGGGCTAGTGATCTGAGCACAATTTGGTCATGACTGGTTCCTGCATATTGTGCAACCTCCGATACGATATTAGGATGACCTGCAATAATATCTTCAAGTGAAGAGATCGCCGAGGCTACCACAGGCGTATAACGACCGCTTTTCCTCACCAACGGTCTCACAATCTCAAGATACGTGGGTTGCAGGTCGAATGCCATGTTGAAAATATCCAAGCAGCGCTGGAGACTTATAATCTCAATCGAATCAGGTGGCAACGATTCGATCCCATCGAAATGCAGATGCATAGCACCAGTAAGACCCCGGACGACCTCTTCGTTGAACAACCATTCCATCACTCGGGAGAACGGATGGCGTTGAGCATAATCAACCACAAAACCATCAGCTCCATTCATGAGACGGGATTGATTGGCTGTAGTCACAAGACTCTCCCTGAAAGTTTCAAGGCACGCTGCTATAAAATCAAGGCAGTTGAAACGAAAGACCTTGATCTGCGCCTCATCTGGTAAGTCAAGCAACTTCTTCGCGAACAGTGTGCCGCAAACAAAGTCAACGTATGGTTCGATGCCTGGCATTCGATATGTTGCACCCAGATCGTCTGGAAATGGGAGAGGATTCTGAAGGGCCTGGTCAACAGATGGTGCTATGAGTATACGAAGAAGCACCGTGAAGGCGCTGTACTGATCGAATGATGTGGCGATTGCCTCCAAAGTCCGACGCAGTGATTGTGTAGGTGAGGTCATACTCGGAGAGGACTTTGCGTGATTCGATGTCAGAGCGGAGACGCCATTGGCTGCCCACTGGTCAAGAATGGACCATAGCCAGTGTCCTTCCGCAGTAGATCTTGCGACCAAGATGGACTGAAGAGTACTGAAAATGCTCGCTCGCAGATAGCTAGGTACTGGCCCAGAGCACAGAATCAGCACAGTCTGCACGAGGTTGAAGGAGGGATGGTCAAGTATGAAACGCCTGGCTTCTGATGATTGCCTGCACATATGTGATATCAGACGCAAATAACAGGAGAGCATGACTGGGCTTTCAAGCTCATTCATATCTGTTGGTAGGATTTTGCGAAGGTTGGGGACGCTTTGGGCGGAGCTTGACCTCTCGTTGACCTTAGACGCATAGAGCTCCAACTCGGCGAACATTTGTGCGTAGTTCATGGACGGTGACTTTCTCGATCTTCCGGACGAAGCAGATTCATCCAGGAGGAACCGATGTCCATACGCTGCACAGTCCTGGCCCTCCGATATGGAGCAGAGCATCTCACAGAACGCACTTGCTCTTGGCACGGTTTGCCGTTTTGAAGCCCAATGCAGAAAACCAAATAGATGGCCGTCGGGGTCTGCCCAAAATGCTTCCGCTGCTTCCGTTCGATGCTCGAACGCGAACGATATCAAGACAAGGAAGCATTCAAGATGCAAGGGGACATCGAAATCCCGTTGCAGATGTGGACCAATACCCTCCTGCATTGCCGTGATGTGCTGTAGCCTCCTGTCGTCCTCATCATTCTTCAACTGTCGAATACTGTCAGGCATGTTTGCAATCCAGGACTCGGAGAAGGACTCAAGGCACTCCATGAATATATTCTGGAAGACCGTAGAGGCCAATTCGCCCTCAAGAGCTGAGTAGTTACCATCACTTAGCAAAAGTGTAACGAGTTCCTGCCTCGCAGGATGGTGCCACTCATCGTTGGTCATGCTTGTGCAAATAGAGAGTAGAAGATGAAGAGCTCCATCGTTCAAAGCGGCTCTCGCCAGATCAGCTCGTTCTTCTACTTCGTGATCCAAGGACCTTTGAGCAGCTTTAATTCCACTTTCGCGGTGCCAACTGCTATACTCACAGACCCACCAGAGCCAGAGAACAGCTTGGAAAGGCTGCAATGACGCATGAACAGATCTTAAATCACCGGCTATGATAGCTTTGTTCAGAGATTGCGCTTCCTCAAAAGTCGACGCTCGCTCTACCGAGCCATATTGTACAAAAGCCGCATAGAAAGCAGGAAGGTAATGGATTAGGCCCACATCTATTCGATCGAAACGTTTTGGGACTTCGTGGAGTTTGCGCAAGTCTTCGCCGATAGTATAATTTCCCTTGAACAGGTAGCACAGACAACTTCCCAGCCCTTCGTGCTGCTTAGACAGACTGGATCTTTGCGAATCCAGGATGGCGAGAACTTCCGGACCTTGGGAAGAGCCTAATACTGTGGCCTTTTGTGCTTGTTCAGTAACCCGGATTTGCCAGTTTTCAATATCGTTCATCGCACTGATACATTTCCGCGTGTACGCAGAACCGTTGGTTGGAGGCCCGTCCTTGATATCGAGAATATGCAGCACAACATCCTGCATCCGACTCTGCTGCCCGCCGTCGTCGTCATGTTCTTGAGACTCACGGAGGACGAGTCTCAAACCGTGTACCAGCAACTCGCGTCGAGTGTGATAATTTGTGATTACAACAAGGACAGATGCTTGACCTTGTAGCTGGCTCTCTGCTTGCACCTCCAGAAGAAGTTTTGCTGCCTCCAACTCATCGATATCTAGAGCATCTGCAATTTGTAGAGCTGTCTGCTGGAAGGCCTCGTTTATTGCGTATTCTTCGTCGTTGATCTTGAGTTTGCCTGCCAAGATCCCATGTCAGTTGGAGACTAAGCTTGAAATACTGTCTTTATACCTGTCATAAGTGACTCGCGGCTTGCATTGCTCTTCAGCGGTTTGTCCAGCAGTTGCCGAAAGTCCTCAATCGAGGCCTCCAATTCGAGCCATAGCCTTTCAATGTTGGCAAGTCTGGTCTCGGAGAATGCAACGAGATCTTGGTACAGACCTTGCAATCTCTCAAGACTCTCCATCTTGGGGTAGCCGCCGTGTCAGTCGCGTCGACATTCATGAGCAACAATCATGGGTTACCGCGGTAGATGGATTAGTTAAGAAAAATACCCGTATGGTACCATGACTCAGTAAATCAACATTTCTTGGCAGGGGAGCACTTCAAAACTTTTAGTACTCATCCCTGCTGGGATACTATGTGAATGGAAAACACTATGGAGGAAGCAGATACAGCAAATAGATTTTGAGTTCATGGGCAAATTGCGATCTTGACGTTCACAAACCCTTCTTGGGCAAATTCATGCACTATCGCAAGGGATGCCTAGATGCAACGCAGTGTCAGGCCAGTTGAAGGATGGGGGAGGCTAATATTGAAGACGTTGTTAGTGAGTAGCGAGCCCCTATCAGGTGTTCGCAGCTCAAATCATTGCAGGGAGATTGAGCGATACCAGATCCAGTGCTCGGAAAGAGGCTCTTGATGGTGAGCAATTAGCTACTCATTGTGCTCTGACGGATGAAATTAATTACCGTTGAGCAGAACTCAAGTTCGTTCTCCAGCAGAACAAAGGCACCTCACGAATGTAAGCTATGACGGTCAATTGCTCCCATCATGCCTTAACATCATCACCTGCAGAGACTGGCTTGGCGATGAGGGTTTTCATCAAATCTATGAAGCTCTTTTTCAATCGATTCGCATTGAGCGTTCAGCATACATAAGCTCTTCCAAGTCCTCTAAGTCTTCCAATGCGGCAAATCGGCTAAGAGATTGTGCACATGTGTTTCGGCTGGCGGTAGATATTGGTGTCCGCAAGATCACCTCGAAGACAGCAAATGCGGTTATCGACAATGTCGTCGAGACGCTTCCTGTCACCCCAGACTCCTACTGTGACCCTCTCGGGGATGACTATTTCAAAATTCTTAGAGCCGTCTTGAATCACGCAGCGCATGTGGAGCATCTCCGGGATAAAAAATGGCGCACCCTCACGGACTTCCTCCTCCACGGAATCTCACACTTTGCCTCGGAGGATAATAGTCCCTCTTCTGGACCTAATGTCAGCATGTTAAGTCAACATTCTAGAAATGGTCGGGTCACATCGTTTAGAGTCAGCCAGAGCAGTGTTTCTCATACAGCCCGGTATGAGTCCGGCAGGCCGGTAGAAGACCTGTTGTTTTGCCTTGACCGCCTGACTGCGGCCACAAACGCACCAATCTTGTTAAGAGCAGCTGCCATTTCGGAATCTGTGATAAACTTTCTCGACTCAGCGTCTGCAGGCGGCTCATTACAGCAAATTGCCTTTAGCTGTATGAATAATGTCATGGCGAGGATCATTACGGAGGACACCAAACTGGCGCAAACGATCTGTCTTGAAACAATCCCTATAATTCGCAGGTTCTGGTCATCTAAGAACATTTTACTCCGTGACGAGATGCTTATCACGCTCGTGCTGAGCAGCGACATCATCAAAGCCGTACCGAACACAAAACCGAACGAAAACGTCTATTCTTCTCTGAACAATTTGTTAGAGGTGATATCTGCTGAATACAGCCGCAGGAACGAAAGAGATCTTCTGCAGCTCGATGAGATACTTTTTTCCGAGGACGAAACACAGCAAGTGATGCACCTGGAGAAGTTTCGCGTACGTGCAGAACAAACAAGAGGCACGTTCAATTGGGCCACTGTCGGATTGATCTCCTTCCTTACGCTCACTGTGGATCAGCTTTCTCGAGTTCTGCAGAAAAGCAGAACAGATGATACCCCCAGTAAACGCCGTAAGCTGACGAGTGGTGTAGACGACGTCTTCCACCAATCTCTAATGGCTTCCACCTTGACAAAGATTCGTGCTTTACAGACCGTTTCCTTTTTGCTAAATGACTGTATAGCGGTAGCTGACAAGTTTCTAAACTTCCTCGTCCAATTTACCAATCAGATTCTGGACGAAGACCCGACTACTGCCGCTTGGACTATGATTGCAATATCCAGGCGAGTTTTGATATCCCTCCATCTGGCAAGATGTTCCACTAACTGTGAATCATAGCGTCCTTTCACTGCAGTCTGCATTGAAGCCAGAAATGAAAGCACAATGGCTTCAGATCTGGCATCTGGCTGCTCGTAACCTGTCGAATCCGAACGTGTCTCGACCTGCAGCTCATCTCTTGAATTCTATCCTTAGATCAAATCTCCTCCAGTACACCGATACATCAACTCTAATAGACACAACTGTGTTCTCTGATGGCCTTAATGGTCCCGTAGGAATATCTGACGCCGCGCTGTCACTCTGGTATACTATAATCGAGTATCAATCAGCAGGGGGGCAACTGGCGCCACAACAGACTATCGCTCGTTTTACAAACTGGCTTTCTACTTACTACACCTTGAGTTTGTGCCGGTGTCCTTGAATCTATTCTCTTATTGACTGGTTCGCAGCACCTAATATCGATCGCGCCACTTCGAAACAAATCGCGCTTCATGCTACTCCAAGGGCTGTTCTAGAGCTGCTTCTGCTTTGTACGAATGTTGAAGTTCATTTTCATTGTGTAGACAGGCAAGTGGTCTCTAGCTCTGTTTTCACAGTTGCTTTCGAACTATCCCGAAATGCCGGCTTGTCCGAGTATCTTATCGGAGGGCAGGTTCTACAGAGAGCGAAGGTCAAGACTTCTTCTGATGCTTATGAATTCAATGAAAAAAACCGAGCAGCTCGTGACACGACCAACGATCGTGGAGTCTTGGAAATGCTACTCGTGAAGCTCCAAAACTTCCGAGAAGCTTGGATCGCTCTGGCGAAAGAACGGGCTTCTAATGTTAGTGCGGATATTGTTCAGATTATGGTGTCACTCATTATTGTTGGCGCAGTTCTGCCCAGGCTCCTAGGCATTGAACGAAGTCACACTTGCAAAGAGCTCAAGCATAGCGTTCATCAAGCGTGGGCTCTTCTCAGTAGCTTCATCCAGCGCTCGGAGGACGTTGGATCAGTCAATGCTGGTGTTGCAGCTGCTGCGGTTACGGCAATCCGATACACTAAAGATCTGACGGTTGGAGATCCGGTGTTGGAAAGTCTCTCATTCATGTTACTACCGCTCTTGATTCAGCTTCGTCACACTACAGAGACAGCTGAGGGATGCGAGAAAGACGACCTAAACATTGTTGATATTGCAGATTCATTTGCGTCACACAGCAGTCAAGCCACCTCCGATCAAATTCTTCCCTATGTAAACCGGAAAGATTTGCCATTCGCAACGGAACGCCACTACTTCCAACGTGATATGATGCTGCAGCTACGTATCAATCTTGCTGCCGTTGAAGCAGCAAGTCTCTCCGAAGGGGATGCTTTACCCGAAGTCCTCGATATTATCATCGATCTTAAACCCGAAGACTTGCTCACGTCGCGTTCTTCATTAATGATGTTTTTAGAGTCATCCAGTTTGTCCAACTCTGATGCTTGTCGATTGCTTAAAAAGATCGCTGAAGCCTGCATTCAACAATACGAATTTGAGCGCTGTGAAGCTTCGTTGTGTCTTTGTCTCGAAGTACTGACTGTAATTGCTGAGCTGTGGGTGAACGAGGGAGGCGACGAACTTCACGACGTTGCGTCTGACATGTACAGATGGTTCATCAGCGTCCCACTTGGGAAAGGTCTTGCATCGACCAGAGTCCTGATCTGTTTGGCAAAACTTCTCCAGAGAGTGCTGAATCTGAATTTGACCTACAACAACGCATCTTTACCGTCGAGCCGCACAAGTCTTTTTGAGATCCTGCGGAGCGGCAACAATATTGTCAAGTTCCACGTGGCGAAGAACATCTCACACATTTTCGAACGATTCATACTGACTGAACATACTGCAATTCTCCATGATGTTGTCGAAGGTCTTCCTAATGACTCTACAGACCTTGACGGTATTGCTCTGCGCTTGTATGTACTTGCGGAGTTAGCTGCCCGTTGGGCCACTCTTCTCCGACCGTCCGTATATCACCTGTTTGAGACTTCTGCTCATATCCCTCTTTCTGTTCCTTACGCACAAGGTTGTCTGCACAAGATTTCGTCGACTCTCGGACTTGAATCTCCGCGAGCTCTGTTCGATCTCTTCGCCCCCCAGTTACTCTACACGTGGTTAGAGACAGAAAGCCTTGAGTCTATACCTTTCTCGATATATGGTTTTCAGACCCTTACCGAGCTGATCACAGATGTGCAGGACGAGGCCGTTGGCCAGATCGTCATGCGAGCAAATAAAGATCTTGCCAGCAGGCTTTCAGAAATCATGCAAGCTCCTTTTGACACGATGCTCGAAGCTTCGTTTCCTAGAGCCGAAGCTTACAGTGTCGCTAGGGATATCAGCATGCCTCCTTCGAAGGATAATGCTTCAAAAAGCACCGAGTCACAGGTTCGAAAACAACTTGGCACGGACAAATATCTCCGTCTTGTGTCCCTTTCATTCCCTCAAATTGTCGCTAACTTATTCATGACTTTGAGCGATGAGCACGAAATGGAGCGCGCCCTGACAAAACGCTCGGAACTCGGACAGGCACTCACGAGGCTGCAGTCAATGTATCGGCTAAGCGCCTCAAAAATAATTCTGCCGCCTGGGCAGCAACCGTCGTTTCGCGCAAAATACCTTCTTGACGAGCTCGAGTTCCTGTGCCAGCGTGTTGGTAAAGACCTATCAAAAATGTGGACTGCGCCGCTTGTAGTTCATGTCTGCAGAAATCTGTTTGACGCGGTAATTCCCGCACTTGGATCACTTCACGCATGCTCCATGCTTCGTAAGATCCGAATACTTGTTGCTTTAGCAGGTCAGGAAGCATTGGAAGGTTACGCAATGGAAATGTTGTTACAATCTCTACAACCTTATCTCACCAAGTTTTATTGTGCAGAAGATGCTCTGGGCATATTCTGGTACCTCCTTGACGAAGGTCGCGATTATCTACGCCGCAACCTGTCGTTCCTTTGTGAAACTGGTTTAACGACAATTTTATCGCTCTCTGTGTTCTTGAGCTCTCCACAAGACAGTACAACACAGGAGTCCCACTATTTGTCCACTCTTTCCATCACACAGTCCTTTCACAAGTGGTTTGTACAGTTCCTATCCAGTTTTCCGGACAAGACTCATGCAGCCGACGATGCCAATGTATTCAAGACGATCATCACTTATGCGGGTGACGTGCGACCTCCTGGTCGTGCAGACAAGGATAGCGCGGAGGGTAACCTACTCTTGCAGTTATTCGAGGCCCGTACTTCAGGGCGAAAGATGCTCAGCCCCACAGCTTTCGAAAGGGCTGTACGCATTCTATGTAAACGATTCACCCGGCCAGCAAAGCCCGAAGAAGACATCTTAGGGCAAGATTCAGTAGCTATACGGCATGCGAAGGTCCTTTACGGTTTGTTTGGAGAGATTGACGTGGCCGATGAATTCTGGACCTGGTGTGCCGAAGCTCTAGGCCGCGCATATGCTGCGAACGGGAAAGTCGACTCCACGTTAACGAGGGAGCAACCTCAAGAGCTGTTTGATTCATCGACATTTGGCAGCGCATCGTCTAGAATATCCAGGTCTCTTGTTGTTGACCGACTTATCAATCTTCTCCGTAGCGATGATTATACAGCGGCGAGTCTAGCGGAGAAGACTCTACAGCAGGTGATAACACACGCCGCACAGCAGGCGACTCTCGATGATTATGAAGATTGCTTCGACCTTGGGTTGATACGAGCCCTCAACTGGCATCCGTCCCCTCTTCCCGACATGAAAAAATCCAAAATGGACACATTCACAACAGATGAGCATGCAACATTGAACACCGCTATCTCACTGGCGAACTGGGCGTCGCAGTTTATGGTATCACTGATTTCCGCAGTTGAACAAGATTGTCTACTCGGTGCTCTACCACCTATCTTGTCCCAAATACCCAGTCTAGCTATCCGCGTCATGCCATTCGTCGTGCATGCCGTCCTAGCCGCAGACAACAGACATCGCAGGCCTCATCGTCAACTTGTTTCTCAAGCCTTCTTGGATGTACTTCTGAACAATTCACCGTCAGTGGCCAACCAACGCCGATTGGTTTTAACCACGCTGTTATATCTCCGTTGTCAGCCATTGCGAAGGGAGACGACAATCGCGGATCGGAGTTCGTGGCTAGACATTGATCTTGCCACAGCGGCATCAGCAGCGACTTCCTGCGCACTTTACAAATCTGCGCTCCTGTTGCTCGAATTGCACGCATCTCAGCACGCTAGTCAGTCGAGTAGAACGTCGCGACGATCTTTATCAGCCAAAGCTAATGAGTCGCCTGATCTCATGCGCCAGATATACCAGAACTTAGATGATCCAGACTTTTTTTATGGCATGCAGGAAGAAGCTTCATTAAGTTCAATAATCCGCAAGCTCAGCCACGAAGGGGACGATTTCAAGAATCTCTCTTTTCAGAGCGCTTTGTTTGATTCAGACATCAAAGTGCATGACAATGATGACCATTCTGGACTTCTCAGAGCTTTAGTCTCCGCAAATATGAATGGTGTTGCTCGTGCTGTCCAGACTCAGCTGAGTCCCGATGTTGGCCAGCGAAGTGTTGCCATGCAGAATGTGTCAGAAACTGCTTTAAACCTGCATCAGTGGGAACTACCCGCTTCATCAACCGCGGCTAACCCTTCTACAGTCCTCTTTCAGGTTCTCCGTACCGCCAATATCTCACTCAATTTCACGGAGATTCCAAGGAGACTGGATGCTGCTTTACTCACCTTGGGCAAAAGTATTGCACAAGACCACAACACCGGCAACGATTTACGTCAGTCGATGTCTGCGCTGGCAGCCCTCACTGAAATCAAAGAGGCACTTTGTTTGAGGGGTTCGGATGAGCTGGCAGCATATTGGCAGAAGCTTGAAAAGAGAGAAGAGTGGCACGAAACCGAGAAGTGAGCCTTCCCCTTTCTCTTCTCCTTTGTTTCTTCTCCCTTCCTGGGACTTCCGAATGAATTGACCGATCATATTCTACAGTTTTGGTAATATTTCTCTCATACTTGCTGGTCGTGAAGCTTTTTTCTCGACTGTCAAAAAGCAGAACTATCTGGCAGCTACGATGCGTCTCGATCCGGTTGACTGTCACATCTTTGAGGTAAAGTGCATTCGCCATTCATTGAAGCTAGCTCGAAGTCACGCGGCTCTGCAGCCTGCACTCAATCGAGCAATGTATCTCTCCATTCTAGTGAATGAGAGTGCTACCCTTGGCCTTGCAATTGGCGATGTAGCCTTGCACGATTTCGCTGGAGTGCTTTGGGACCAAGGTGATATGATGGCGGCTATACAAATGCTGAAGCAGTTGAAAGGTAATTCTGAAGGCAGCAAACAGGCTATCATTGTGAGCCGCCCAGCTTTGCTGGCAGACATGGTAGGCGTATTCGATACCTTATGCTTGCACACTAATTTTTTTTTCTAGGGTCATCGCATTGCAGACGCTCGACTGGAACGGCCTGATGAGATCATTACCAATTACCTCTTGCCCGCCATTAAAGATCTCAGAGGTAAAGGAGAGGGCAGGGAGGCTGGAAGAGTCTATCATGAATTCGCCTTTTTCTGCGATCAACAATTACAAAGTGCAGACGGGCTGGACGAGTTCTCTCGAGTCCAGAAAATCCGAGAACAGAAGGAGGCCGAGGTAAAAGACCTTGAGAGAATGGTAGACAAGGCCCAGGGTAAGCAGAAGGAGCAATTGACAGTCCACTACGTCAAAGCAAAACAATGGTATAGGCTCGATGACGCCGAATATCAGCGACTAAAGCGTACGAGGGAAAGCCTTCTGCAGCAGTCTCTGGAGAACTATCTTCTATCACTTCGAGCTTGTGACGACTTTGTAAATGACGTCCTGCGTTTCTGCGCCATGTGGCTTGACAACTCGGGCAATCCAGCTAAAGATGTGGCTGTTGGGAAGTATCTTCCTGAAGTGGCAAGTCGAAAGTTTGTTCCTCTGATGAACCAACTTTCTTCTCGTCTGCTCGATAGCCTCGATGAGTTTCAAGAACACTTGTTCCATCTGCTGCTTCGAATATGCACAGACCATCCATTCCATGGCATGTATCAGATATTTGCAAGCAGCAAGTCCAAGGGTGGGAAGGATGACCTCGCGCTCTCTCGACATGCTGCTGCAAATCGACTCTCCGAGGAGCTCCGAAAAGGACCTGCCAGCAACATCTGGGTGGCTATCCACAATTCTAACATCTCGTTCATCAGATTTGCTCTCGACCACTTGCCAGATACCAAGGAGCACAAATCTGGTTCCAAAGTACCACTCGCGGAGATCCCGTCAGGTCAGAAATTGGTCCAAGAAATCCTGAACCTGACTACCAAGATCCCGCCACCAACTCTGAAGATCCCTATACGCCCAGACTGTGATTATGGCTCCGTCCCGGTTCTCAAACAGTTTGAGCCCGATTTCACTGTTGCCGGGGGCGTCTCCGTTCCCAAGGTGATCACTATCCTTGCCTCGGATGGCAGCCGCATGAAAGCACTGCTCAAAGGCGGCAATGACGACCTCCGCCAGGATAGCATTATGGAGCAGGTTTTCGAGCAGGTGTCCAATCTCCTCAGAGATCATCGCGAGACCCGCCAGCGCCAACTCGGCATCCGAACCTACAAAGTCCTGCCGTTGACCATGAATGCCGGCATCATCGAGTTCGTCTCCAACACCATCCCCCTCCACGATTACTCACTCCCTGCCCATCAAAAATACTTCCCCAACGACTGGAAAGCCACCAAATGCCGCGTAGAAGTTGGCAACGCGCAATCGAGATCCGTATCCACGCGCATCCAAGTGTTCCGTAACGTCTGCAGCAACTTCCAACCGGTCCTGCGCCACTTCTTCTTCGAACGCTTCCTCAACCCAGACGACTGGTTTGCCAAACGCCTCGCCTATTCCCGCTCCACAGCCGCAATATCCATCCTCGGCCACGTCCTCGGCCTGGGAGATCGCCACGGGCACAACATCCTCCTCGACGAACAGACGGGCGAAGTCGTGCATATTGACCTGGGCGTCGCTTTCGAAGCCGGCCGAGTCCTGCCCGTACCGGAAGTGGTCCCCTTCCGCCTGACGCGGGACATCGTAGACGGGATGGGTCTGTCCGGCGTCGAGGGCGTCTTCCGCCGCTGCTGCAACTTCACCCTCGAAGCCCTACGCCAGGACCAGTATTCCATCATGACCATCCTCGACGTCCTGCGTTACGATCCGCTGTACTCGTGGTCCATCAGCCCGCTGCGGCTGAAGAGGATGCAGGAGAAGACGAAAGCGCCGGAGGGTGAGCGCAGAGACGATGGGGCGGGCGAAGGCATGACGGCCCTGGCGAACAAGAAGGCGGTCAATAACCCCAGCGAGGCGGATCGCGCCTTGACGGTCGTGTCGAGGAAGCTGGGGAAAACTCTCAGTGTGGAGGCTTCGGTCAATGAGCTGATTCAGCAGGCGGTGGATGAGAGGAATCTGGCAGTGCTGTGGGGTGGCTGGGCTGCTTATGCTTGAGATTGTGCGTTGTGCGCTGTGGATTGAATAAAGGTTGCCCTGGTGGGGGAAGGAAATCGGGTACATGGAAATCGTGCACAGAGGTGAGGTGTTTGTGATGGCGTTCATGGTCGTTTAGGTTGAGTACTTCTGAAGAAAAGTCTCCCCTACTCCGGCTTTCTTTCCGAGCACTTCATCTTGTCCCTTATGGTATGTCTGAAGCCACCACGTTTGGAAGCACTCAACTTCCCGATCCATCTATCCCTAACTACCACTGCCCACACGCCCTGCCTCTCGCTCGGAAGCCACCCCATTTCCGCTGTCATGTTCTCATCGCATCACTGAGCTACTGACCCATTTATGATACAACCCTTCTGCCAGCAAAACTTCAGCTCTAGTCACTCCCACTCCCATTCCCATAGCCACAGCCTCGAGGACAAGCCCACCGTCCCTCCGAGTCTGGCACGACTTCGATCCTCTTCTCGAGGAGAACGCATCGCATCCCTCTGAGGTAGCGGAAGCAGTAGTCATAGTAGGTGAGTCTATGGCCACAGGCTATAAAATGGATGGTATTTCTGTTGCACATTGTACGTGCTCGGCATGCAAGGATTCCAAGGATTCCAAGAGATGCAGTGTGGGGCCGGATTCATCGAAAGGAGAGAGCAGGTGTGTTTTCGAATTCCTTGCTGATACTGGCTGGGGATAGTGATACACGAAGTGGAACATGTGAGCTTCTTATGGATTTGGAGGTAGGGTCTGTGAAGCTCGTTTGCTCATGAGTTGACAGGCAGGACTACGCTCTCTTCCAACAATGACGTTTGGAGTCATGGAGAGGATAGCTGGCGGCCAATGACACTAAATGACTAGGTAGAGCCGGTCACCTCGCGTCTTTTGCACTTTAGCTATTGGTACTGCATCTGTTTCGCTGGCGGTGCATTTGATGATACGACAGCCACCACGATCAAGTTTTCTTTCACGCAAACTCCATCTTCAGAACAGCTCACAACGCTGGTACACGCTTGCGTTCATCTGTCGATATTGGTGGTTGATCCTGAGTGCAAGGTCCTAAATCCCAGTGAAGATTGAATGAGTAGCTTGCCGCACAAAGGCTGAGCCTGTACTGAATAAGGTGGGTCGGCGTTATGTGGCTCTCCTTTAGTAGCGAGATCTCAATCGAGATATTGATTGGTCACAGTATGCGCACCCCTTCATTTTATGCCAGCTCTTTCTAGTTCTCTCTCCCTCTCAAGCACATGATCCTCGAATTTGACGAGAAAGACTGTTCGGTTGGGCCAGACATCAGTGGCGTGATTATGTGAACTGACCCTCGACTCGAAACCAGCCCCGTCGCAGACACCCTCTATTATGCCGGCAACAAATGCGGCACAGCTTAATTGACTCATGTCCTTTGGGACGGAAATGAATTGGTTGGTGAGTGGTGTGTTGTCGATGATCATGTACTCCCCAGGATTGGTTGTAGATTGCTCTAGTGAATCTGCAGGGCGAGAGAATAGAAGAGGATAGAGCTTCGTTGTGAGGAGGGTCAGGAGTGGCAGGACTCGTAGAGGTCTGGTTGCCTGAGCAGATGAAGACGAGGAGGAGCTACCGGCAGGTGTCGAACGGTACAGAAGGAGATCGAGGAGTTTCAGGCCGAGAGGGTGACCCTGCTCATTCAATCTACCCGAGAACACATCAGCATCCAGGTCGAGTTCGTCCCAGCCCGTGGCGGTCGGCTGCTAGATCGTACCTCTTCTCCAGCTCTTGAATACCCTTGACTCTGTTCTGCGCGTAGATCACCATCTCCATGAACAAAAATGCGAAGCTCGCTCGCCCAAGCTCTGCATTCCGACTGCGATTGAGATTGCGGTCATAGATGGTTTTCTTGTTCGAGGGTAGTCTCAGTCCTGTCGAGGAAGAAGGATTCTGAGTCGGTACAGGATGACGAGAAGGTATAAGCTGCTGCGCGCCATTCCCAGAGACTCGATCAGAAAAGCTTGGTGGAACATTTGAAGGACCGGACATGGTGGACAGCTGTTCGAATGTAGATTATGAAACAGTTTTGATGGACTGCACCGCTGCAATATTATTTACAATATTATTTTCCCATTGACAATTGGGCAAGTTCCGACGTCTGGAAGGGGTTACAGGGGATGGGAGGTTGATCATCTCATTTGGCATGTACGAAAAGTGTCACCGTTGAAATGTTGCTCCTCAAAGCAACAAGAGGGTTACATAGCCCAGATGTGAATGTAGTCATTGTGTAGCTCTAACTTAGGTCTTTGACTGCATCGCAACACACCTTAGGCTGATGGATGCATTTGCATGACACACCTCCACTGACCGATACATCTCCCACTCTAGTGAGTACTCTTTATATATATGTATAGTAGGAAGACCATTCCTAAGGTTACTGCCTCTTGAAGTACCCTTCGCTTTCTCATCTAGGGAACAAAGGCAATTTTCTATTATCTTTAAAGAGCGCTGATCAGCCCTCATCCTCCCCAGCCTTGTCCTGCGGTCTATCTGGATCCTTCTCCTCCTTGGACCAATCATGAAATGCCTTCTGCTTCTGCCGTGAATTCCACTGCAAGGTCCTGGAGATACTGTTGATCCAGTCTTCGCTTCTCCGGCCCGGAGGCATGACGTTTGCAAAAGGATAGCGCGAAGCAGACACGGTAACATAATCACCCGGGTGGAGCTCGACCCTCTCTCGTCCGTCGAAACTTGCCCAGGAGCTCCCTCGTGCGTCGTAGGGTACACCTATTCTCAGCACCATCGTGTCCGGGAGGATGATAGGTCGGAACGACAATGTGTGTGCACAGATAGCTGTCACGAGAATGACCGGGTTTTCTGGGTGGCAGAGCGAGCCGCCAGCGGCGAGGTTGTAGGCGGTAGACCCGGTTGGAGTAGCGACGCATATACCATCGGCTTGTACGGTGGTCAGATGCTCGTCGTCGCCGAAGAGCTCAATCGTAGACATGGCTGCAATGGTGGTCAGTGGAATCGCTCAACCGTGTGCCTGCGCATGACTCACTAGGACTCGGTCCTCGGTCCACCACAACGTCATTCAATATCTCAAACGTACAATCCGGCTTGTGTGTACGATTGTCCTCCCGCTCCTCGCCTATCAATTCGTTGACTAGGTCCCTCGGTTCTGTCTTTTCCGCACGTGGCCGAGATCGCATAAGTGTGCCCTCAAAGCGCAGGCGCAAACTGATTGTTACTCCATCTCGGAACGCTTTTGTTAATGTGTCCTGGTACAGTTCAAAATCGAACTTGGTCAAAAAGCCTAGCGATCCCAGCGCAAATGAAAGAACGGGCGGCACAATTCGCTGGAACAACCAACTTGCATATAATACCGTCCCGTCCCCTCCAAGTGTTATTACGAAGTCAAAGGTATGGGGACGCTTTCTGGTCAATTCGTTGTCCCAGTACTTGAGTCTACCCTCATATGATGAATCTTCGGCTAGCAGGGCCTTGGCGTCGAATGTCTCGTTGTCTTCGAGTACGTTTTCTACCCAGACGATATAGGGTGCGTCTCGATCCTTCGACAACAACCATCTTACGACCTCCCTAGTCTTGATAATCAAAGTGTCGTCATGGATCTTGGTCAACAAGAAGACCGTCTTGATCCTCAGCTTGACTTTCAGGCTGCCTAACTTTTTAGCCAGATTTCTTACTCCCATAGCCATGTCAGCCAGCTGCTTCTTAGTCAACAGACGTGATCGAACCACCAGCACCTCCTCTTGCGGCGTCGAAGTGCCATCAATGTTTCCGTTCCTGACCTGGTCCTCCTCAATGTAATGTAACCTGCTATCGAAGTGTGGTCTCTCCCTTTCGAGAAATTGATGGACAATGCACGAGGAGGCTCTGCGCTGATCAGCCTCCCGACGAGCGAGCTTGGGGGCGTCGTTGAGGACGATGGAGGATTTCCGGCGGTGCGCGTACTCAGCATCAATGACGACCTGATCGCTTTGTCAGAGGTAGAGAATCTCGTGCTCGAAGGACGCCGCTCCCTACTTCCAATGCATGCTGGACCTCCGATTCCTCGCTAGAATCCCCATGACTCTCCCACAAACGTTAGTGCACATGTCCTCAAGTGGGAGTCTCGCCTCACTAGATCATCTCTGTGGACAAGTGAATCGCTGATGGTCCGACTCAGGCGAGGTGCGCCTTTCTTTTCTGAGTCCCCCATTTCGGATATGCTATGTTAGAACAGTACCCGGCGTTGCAATGGGGTCGTCGAGTTGCTTGAGCGAAGTGTAGAGCAATCTTATTCAAGTATAGCCCGACGTCAGTAACTCGAGTTCTCGCGTAGAACGAAGCGAAAAGGACAAAGGTGCTGCACTACCGGTGCATGTTGGTCGAGGTCCGTGGGTAGATTAGCGAGATGTGCTACGTAGTACAGATCTTTGTCACCTAATCCGCGCATGACCTCCCTGGCTAGGTGTGGACGCAACTATGCATGGAACCGGCACCAGGGGGTGCGGGAATGGAATGCACCACAATTATGACCGATATTTAGCCGAAAATGAATCAACAACTTAACAACCCACTTCTACACGAATTCATACTATCAGTTCAACAGAAGGAGCCCTCCTACTACTCCTACAAAGACTGTTAAGCGCAAAGAAGCTGATACTGTCAAAGAATCCTGGTTCTTTGGAACCTACGACTCACAATCGCGCTCGATAGTCTTGAACAGCTCAAAGAGGTGTTACAAGACGGATGGAGCAAGATTAATATGCAAGAAGTTCAAGAGTGTACCGCTGAAATGCCTTCTCGATGTAGAAAGCTAGTAAATACGGGTGGAGAGGCCATCAAAACCTCATTATGATGATAATGGTAATCAATTAGTAGTAGTTACCTATTTTGGTGAAATCTCGGTCAAAAATTGTAGTGCATTCAATTCTCGCTTGTTCATCCAAACCTCTATTTTTCTGCATTCTCGTGGTATAGATGTTACCATACAATTCAATATAGGTCATTCCCACCCATCCTTCGCTGCAATTGCCTCCTTTCCAATGTACCATTCCGTCTCCATATTCCCTGCTCTGGCGAGTCATCCCATTATTCATGCCTCGCTCACGGGTCCAAAGAGCCGGACGAAGCCTTTCATGATAAAGCCTCTACGTGAACAGAAAATCATACTTTTGTTCTCCATCCCCAGGCAGCATTTCTTGACAAATGCGATGGTCTCCTTGCACACTGCTCTCTTGCTTGATGTCATCTTATGTATACATCACAGCTAGGCCGTAACTTAGCCTTTCCTTGGACAACTTCATTCCCAAAGGTCAGAAAAGCTGACCTTCTACCACTTTAATCATGTAGTGAGTTTGGATGGTTATTGTCGTTTATGTACCCATTCAGCCAGCCCACTATAGCACCATATATCCAATACCAAATTTCCGGCGCGATTTGCGCATATTAGAGGTCGTCAAAGACACAGTAGACGCCGTTCCCGCTGTCCGTAACAGCCGGCAAGACTTGGTCCCTCATTTTCGGGATATCCGGCATATTGGAAATAGACATCAGTTTTGAGCCATATGCGCCCGTTACTGCAAAATGTGGACGGAATGCAGAGGAGGTCTCGTTTGACATTTTGCACATGGTCCGTGACGAGGTGCCATCACAATGTCATAAGATGTTGCTTAACTTTGAGACATCAAATTCTGTCTTGCAACGTCCTCACGTACGGATGGATGATCTGATCATCGCGTGGAAAGTTCTCGACAGTAGACTATCGGTAGACCCAGCAGCTATGCCTTGAGCACGTCAACCTTAAAAGCTCCAAAGGGGGGTGACTTCTCAAGGCGGGACCATGGCCAAGCTAAGGGCGCCGCCAGCAAAATTATGCTCTTATGGGCTATGTTTTGCGTGGGACCTTCACCCCCCCAACATGTCTTACACTTGCCCATAAAGTTGGGGAGATTCGCATTGGCGATTTGTGACCCTTCAGCCGTTGATCGATCAACCAAAGGCCTAGTACAAACTCATCTCGGATGAGCGTACCAACACCTTGACGATCCACTAAATCCCAGATCTCCGCAAGCGTATCCATGGGAAGGCGACTACGGCTCCATATATCTCGAACCACTAAGTCGAGCACTAAGTCCGAGGTCGAAGGCTCGACTGCGCTTTCTTCGTTAGGTTGAGAAGAAGAGGTCGTGAGGAATAAGCCTTTGTTAGCAGCCCAAACACCTTCATACCTCCTCCTCTCGCGTTCCGTTACCTTGTCTTTCCATCTCTTCCGAGAACCTTCCCTGTGCTTGTTCGGATGCTTTATGAAATGCTTGTGTTTGCGCCTATCATTCCCGTCGTCGCTGTCCTCTGAATTATATTTTCGTAGCGTCTGCCTCATCCCTTGGTAAGGAGCTCCATGACGGGGAAGGTCTGTGTCAGAAGAGTGGCGGTGACGGAATAGAGCACGGGATAGTGATGACCTCCTGGGAGGTGGTGGAGCTGGAATTGGAGCTTGTGCCCTTGTAGCAGGGGATGGCGCCCGAGAAGATGCGAGGGAGGAGGCGACGATTGCGTCGGCAAGCGTACTTTCGGTCAAGCCAGTTCTTTCGTCTAAGTACTGTGTATTTGCAACTGAGGCAAAGCGGTGCGACGGTTGCGCCGATGTACTCAAACCGTAGACTGTAGCATTTGAGTCTTTTTTCCCATATCCTTCGCGGCTTAATTCGCGCTTGCCAGCAACTGAACCTCGCTCACTAGGAACAGTGTGTCTTAGGTTGTGAGGAAGAACAACGTTACCCTCTAGACCTTGCCTGTGTGCGGTTGAGCTTCGCCCACGACCCAAGTCCTCTGACGAGTCATCCTCAGGGGTGAGTGCACGTTTCGGTACATTTCGTGGTGGATCAGACACAGAAGATGAAGTTAGTGGCGCCGATTTTCTTACTGCCGCCTGTGCTGCCAGGGTGCTTGATAAGCCTGGTAACCGGCGCGGTTGAGAGTCTTCGGTAGTTTTGTCATTTACGATGTCACGGATCTGCTCTGACTTTCGAGGCGGTAGATGTGGTCGAGCGCTCGACACGGATTGCAGAGGCCATGGCTTAGAAGTTGTTGAGTTGCGGTTCAATGGTTGAGCGCTGTCAACAGAGTCGGATTGAAACCTGAACCCTGACTCATTGACCTGATGGCTTGGCCGCGGTATGTTGGTATCTCCGCTAGCATTACTGCCCTCGCTCCCGCTGCGCAAAGCCAGTGGTGCTCTGGGTGGTACGGGCTGATGGCTGGAAGCTATGCGTGCTGCAACCTGAGATGGTGATCTTTTGGTGATCTTCCCAGGTGTACCGCGTGCGGCAACGCTGGGGGTCTGGGGCTTGTCGCTTTTAGAACCCTGTTCGAAATCTTGTACTAACTTCTGCACTTGGGAGATCTGAGCGGATAGAGACCCAGGGGGCACCGCGGAATCTAAAGTAAAACTGTTGGGTGGTGAGACAGATTTCTGGCGTGATGCAAGTCCAGCTGATGCGGCGGCAGCTCGGGCACCATTGGTACTGCTATCGAGAGCTTTAGGACGTTGGTTGTCATTTCCTGCTGTGAAAGCACGGCTTGCTCCTCGGACAGCTGCAGACTGCAGCCTTTGTCGATGCTCACTGACCAGACCAGATTGGGATGTGAGACGGTCTCCTGCATTCAAAGATTCTGCGTTGGTATTCATCAATCCATTGGTAGTCAAGCCCAATCTTTCTCCGCAAAACGACTGATTAGCATCCCTTAGCGCTCGTCAATCAGAATTCCTCAAAGAGAATTGACGTCCTGCGTGTTCATCATCAAGATGCACTCTCCCGAACCAGTGGATAAAGCTAATTAGGGTCAAAGTAGTGGAGTACTCCGTCACTGAAGATGAAGTTCGCATTCCGGTCGTTCCAAGAAAACCTCTTGGCAATCAACAATTTATTGTAGCTAATGAGAACGTGAATGGTTGCCTGTTCTTGCCTATCATAGTCTACAGATATGTTGACCATGTATAAAAACAGACCACACCCGATCAGACGGGGCCAAATGAAAAGACGTATTGAGGATACACGACTTCTCAGATTGGAATTTAGATGGGCTCGAGGTGATGGCAAGACGTCACTCGGTCGACATGGATGTCGATCAAACCAGCCAAGTGATCTCGCGACAAGACCCTGCGGCGCTTGAGAAGGAGCTCGATGAAAAGTAAGAAGTGTTCGAAATGTTGACTACCATACTGAACTGTCTAGATATCCAAATCGACCCCATAATCATTCCAAGACTCTTCCATTTCATGTCCTCTTTCAAGATTTATTTGATCCTCTGAATGATAACAAGAAGAGACCCTCAGGCCCTCCTATCAACCGTAGAAAACAAGGACCTCATGGCGCACATAGCAACAGTCCGCAAGAGGTCCGGCGCGCCATCATCGAGCGTTTTATCTCACGATGGCGTCAAGAGGTGGGCAGCGACATCTATCCCGCCTTTCGACTCATCATTCCGGAGAAGGACCGAGAACGCGCGATGTATGGCCTCAAAGAAAAGGCCTTGGGTAAGTTATTGGTGCAAATCATGAAGATCGATAAAAACTCCGAAGATGGCTTCAGCCTACTCAATTGGAAGCTGCCAGGCCAGAATGCTGCAAGCAGAATGGCTGGTGACTTTGCCGGTCGTTGCTATGAAGTCATCTCCAAACGACCAATGCGTACAGAGGTAGGAGATATGACTATAGGCGAGGTCAATGATCTGCTGGATGAGCTATCTGCTGCACCAAGAGAGGATTATCAACGTCCGATCCTTGCTAGGTTTTACCAAAGGATGAATGCGACGGAGCTGATGTGGCTTGTGCGTATTATCCTACGTCAGATGAAAGTCGGTGCTACGGAGAGGACATTCTTCGATTTATGGCATCCAGATGCAGAGAGCTTGTTTAATGTATCAAGCAGTCTGCGACGTGTTTGTTGGGAACTACACGATCCTTCAATTCGCCTCGAAGGGGATGAAAGAGGTATCACACTGATGCAGTGTTTTCAGCCCCAGCTGGCACAGTTTCAGATGCATTCATTTCAACGTATGGTTGAGAAGATGCGGCTTACAGAAGAGGATCCGACTTTCTGGATTGAGGAGAAACTAGACGGCGAAAGAATGCAACTTCACATGACTGCCGACCATTCCCTGCCCGGTGGTAAGCGTTTCAATTTCTGGTCTCGTAAGGCAAAAGACTACACCTATTTGTACGGCGACAGCTTTGAGGATGACAATAGTGCCCTAACCCGTCATTTGAAATCCGCATTCCGCGACGGAGTCCAAAACATTATTCTTGATGGTGAGATGATAACCTGGGACCCGGAGCAGGATGCCCAAGTACCATTTGGCACGCTCAAAACCGCTGCTTTATCCGAGCAACGCAATCCATTCTCTACTGGCCATCGTCCAGTCTATCGCGTATTCGACATCTTATACCTGAATGACCAACCCTTAACCAGATACACCCTTCGCGATCGTCGGAAAGCCCTCGAGCATAGCATCAGCACTATTCCGCGTCGTTTCGAGATCCACACCTACACTGAAGCCCAAAAAGCCGAAGAAATAGAGCCTCTGCTTCGAAATGTCGTGGCTCAAGCATCTGAAGGTTTGGTTCTGAAAAATCCACGATCTGCCTACCGGCTCAACGAACGCAATGATGACTGGATCAAAGTCAAGCCAGAGTACATGACGGAATTTGGTGAATCCCTTGACTGCGTTGTCATAGGCGGCTACTACGGCTCCGGCCACCGTGGTGGCAACCTATCTAGTTTCCTCTGCGGTCTACGCGTCGACGAAGGGTTCGCCCGAAAAGGCAAATGGAACCCTGAGAAATTCCATTCCTTCTTCAAAGTGGGTGGTGGATTCACCGCATCAGACTATGCTGAAATCCGGCATCGTACAGACGGCAAATGGATTGACTGGAAGCCTAAAGCCCCACCAACCGAGTACATCGAGCTCGGCGGTGGAGACCTGCAGTACGAACGTCCAGACGTATGGATCAAACCATCCGAGTCCGTCGTCCTGGAGGTGAAAGCCGCATCCATAGCAACAAGCGACCAATTCCGCACGGGAGTCACCCTCCGCTTCCCACGCTTTAAACGGCTCCGTCTAGACAAGGACTGGCAGTCCGCGCTGACCATGCAGGAATTCCTAGACCTGAAGTCCAACGTCGAGAAAGAGAAGAAGGACAAAGAGTTCCGCGTCGATGACGAAAGGAAGAAGAGGAAGAAGACCTTCCAGAGCCGGAAAAAGGTCCTTACGGTCGCAGGCTACAACGCACGCACCATCGCCAACGACGAGTTTGCAAACGACGCCGCCAACGGTGACAGCCCAGAGCTGCCCACCAAAGTTTTTACAGGCCTCACCTTCTTCATCATCACCGAAGCTCTGCACCCTCCAACAATCAAAAAATCGAAGATCGAGCTCGAAAACCTGGTCAAACTACATGGCGGTATCATCGTGCAAACCCAAGATGCAGTCCCGGACACAGTCTGTATCGCCGACCGCCGCGCTGTGAAAGTGGCTTCGATCCAGAAAAGCAAGGAGAAAACCATCATCCGTCCTGTTTGGCTTCTAGACTGTATTGAGCAGGCGCGGAAGGACAGGGCGATGGGGCTCCCGGAGTTGCTTGTTCCACTAGAGAGCGAGAGGCATATCTTTTCGGTTGCAGAGGACCAAGATCAGGATTTGGAGGGGAATACGGATCAATTTGGAGATGCATTTGCGAGGGATACCTCGGTCATGGAATTGAAGGAGTTGTTGGAAAAGATGGGGCAGGGTGTCGAGCGGCTGGAGAGAGAAGCGGTGGTAGAGGCGGTTAGAGAAGTCGAAGGCGAGGAACAGCGCAAAGCGGGCTGGCTGTTCATGGGCACGAAACTCTTCTTCGACCCAGCAGCACCCAACTCTGATGAAAACACCCTTTCAAACGCGACAGAAGAAGACAGCGACCAGAAACTGGCATCCCTCACCGCACGCTTCGCAGGCGCCACAGTGACGCAGAATCCCGACGACAACCACATCACGCATGTGGTGCTGAACCGGAACAGCGATACCAAAGCTATCCGTGGACGGTTGGCACAGCACAGGAAGAAGATTCCGCGGCTGGTGACGAGGCGCTGGATCGAGGAGAGTTGGGCGGAGAAGACACGGCTGGATGAGGAGAGGTTTGGCGCGTCATGACTCGGTGAGAGGGACAGAAATTCTGGATGGGTCTCTGAGCTTGCATGACTTGGATGCGGGATGAGGGACGATGAGATCAATGTGTTGCACCCGAGATGGATAACCCGCGTGATCACCAGGGACTTCGGCATCCATGGACTGGTCATGTGCCTACATTCGTTCATTGCATTCACTTCAAGCCATTCATTCAGAATAAAAACCCTACTAGCTAGCTTTCCCAGGATGGCTGACTGGCCCACCATCCGAGTTTTCCCAAACTCCATCGCTAAAAATCGTCACGTGCCTGATAAGGCACTAGGTTACCTGCCGTAAGCCTTTTTCGTAATATGTTCAATCAACTTCGCGCACCCCATTTCGAACTCCACGCCCGCCAAAACCAAGATCGAGCGATACATAAACGTGAATCATTCCAGGGCGGTGTGTCTGTCTCACGCCGCAGTATATACAGTCCACCTCTCCACCCCAGACCGAAGAGTCTGACCATCCATCGCTTTCCTCGGCGGTAGCCAAACGCAAGCATGGCTCTCCATCGCATCATCGAACTTGCCGCTCCTGCGCATGTTCATTTCTGCGACGAGGATTCTCAGAAACGCCGCGTTCTCTCTTGGCTCCCGCTGGCGGGCCAGGTTGGGTGTTGGTAAGGCCGGTGAGGGGAGGTCTGGATGCGTTGTCGGCGTGCCATCTGGACCGAGCCAGATGGGAGGGGATGAGGCGTTGGGGGAGCGGACGGCGGAAGGGATGCAGGTTTGCAGCTGGATGGACTTGGTGGTGGTGCGCGAGCGGGATGAGGTGGGTCCTAAGCTGTTGTTCCTTGTGGGAGGAGAGGGGTTTGGATATTCGTTGTAGGAATGAAATTCTGCTGGGGACCTTGATGCAAGCGTCGCAGTCTTTGGGTGGGGATTTAAATACCTGCGTAGCGCTGGAGAAGGTGGATCGTCGGATGGTGGAGGCCGCTTGTCGTCGGTAAGCTCGGGTGCGAATGAGAAGATTGACCGTGTAAGAAAATCGTCGGGTCGAGTCGTCGGGGGCCGGGTAGCGAGGCTTGACACCGTCTGAGCTGCTGTCTTTAGTGCACGCAATGAGGCGGTGAGATTTGAGCGTAGTGATGAAGCTCGGCCTTTCTCGGACGGCGGTGATTGTGATGGCACGGGCAGGATGATAGTATCCTCACGCATTGATGACAAGGGATCCAGTATATTAAGGTGCTGAAGAGGATGATCATCACTACAGTCTTCGGAAGTTGAAAAGAGACGAGGCCGTCGATCTGGAGAGCAGCGCTGAGATGGTTGAGATGGGCTTGATAAACCATGAGATAAGCTCTCAGTAAGATCATCGTCAACCAATAGCGACGGCATCGATTCAGTGGACATTGATCGAATAGATACAGGCGTCTCAGCCGGGGTGGACCCAGCAGCGTTTCTCCATGTAGCGCCCTTGTCTACCGAATGTCCAAACAAGTCCTCAAATTGAGGGTTGCCGAGGCTGCCCACCGTTGCTCGAAGATCTATAGACTCGACATCCTCCAGCAGCAATTTGCTAAAGTCGGCAACATGATCACCAACCGGTAGCTTTTGTGACTTTCTCCCTTGCGGTCTTCTCCTGGGTATTGCGGTCGAGGACAACAAGGAGTCCAAAGGTGCAGCAGAGGCTGCTTGTGTTCTGTGTACCTGGGTAACCTCTCGAGCACGAGATTGACCATGCGAGGCGGGCCTAGTGTGGGAAGATAGATGAGCCTTTTCATTGCTTTTAGGGATGCGAACGGGTGACGATGCGGTCGTTGGAGATGGGTCTGTGGCCGGCGGTGAACGCGCTTGAGGGCGACTGGTGCGCTGTTTTGATGTCGCTTGCTTACCATAGAGTCGAGTGTTGCTTATAGAGTTCTCCTTTTCATCGTACGTGTGCCGCGGGACAGAATGAGATGAGCTGTTCAGGAAAGAGCTAGGGACCATCATCTTCACATCTGTTACCTCAAATGTCGTTTTTCAAACATGTAGAGGGATGTCGTGTGCGGCGGCGTTGTCGTATTGTTAGCCCTCATCGGAGTGCCTGTGGATAAGGGGTTGTCAATTTGTTGAGGATGCGGCTGATAGTGAGGACCAGCATCGGAGACGATGATCTTACAGTCCTCTGTGAAGGTGAGAGAACACATCGCCGTGCAAAAGAGGAGAGGGTGATAAAAAGCGATTACCAAAGGATTTGGCTTCATTGGCCCCAATCAAGCAGATGGCGCAGTCTGGTTCGGCGAGGCAGGTTGCTGATAAGGGACGGAACTTTGGTGATGTAGCCTCGGACTCAGCCGAATCCGTTGGGTCCAATGGCATTGGGGATTGTTTCCAGCGGAAACAGGGGTGCAGAAAAAAGAACTACTAGCCCTCTTGTGTGCCCAACGGCATCACGGCGTGGGAGTGGTGAAAAGGATCCAAGGATAATGGCCGGCCACTTAATAATGGAAATCCATCGACCGGAATTAGACAGAGCCATGATAGGCAGCGGGAAGAAATTCCCCATGGCGATCAGGTCTACTACGCAGTAGTTACTTGAGGCTTAAGCACTGTCAAGAGCCCGGTTCTTGAGTCGCCCCTTGTCTTATGCGGAATGCCGTGTCTTGGTAGCACCAGAGCACGTGGTTCCTGGATCGGAGGGGACAGCAAAACGATGTGTCCAATGCTTTTTAGAAGCCTTCCTTTTCTATCTCGGATTGCTGGTGACGAGTCTGAAGTGCCTTGCAATATCCTAGAGTCAATACGCTGAAACTAGACGCGAGAAAAAGAAGCCTTCATTCAACGTCGTCGTCATCGTCGTATGATGGTCCATCGACGTCAGCCCAACCACACATCCATCTCTTCCCCTGACCTTCCCCACTTATCCGCAGATCTCTTGCTTCATCGCCTTCTCGCCAACAGCGAACATGGAAATCATCACTCACTGTCACTAACTGTCCATCACTCGCCCACGCGACAGTCGTCACCTCTTTCTGATGCCCTCTTACCAGTGCAGTGCCATGTTGATAGATTGGAATGTTATCATCGGAAGATAGTGCAACGTCAGAGCTAGATCTGGAACGTCGGAGCAACGGACGTCGTCCATCGAGTGTTGTTCGTGCTGAAGGCTTGCACCCAAGATATCGCTCGTTGGTAGGGAAAAGAACAGCGCAATCATTGCCACTGCCCGCAGCCAGCAACTCGGTCTTGTCGTCTTTCTGCTTTCTGACAGACAATTTGACGTAGAACGTACTCACTTGGAGCTGTTGGTGGCGGAAGCCATACATTGGACCTAGTCCCTCGCGCTCACACCCGCCGGCTCGCCGGGGGCGTAAGGACGTGGTGGTCAATTCTGGAGCATTGCCGAGGATGAGATGTGAGGCGGAATAGGCATATATCGTGTGGTCTCTGCAAAGAGTGTACAGACGAGCACCATCGGTACTTAGCGCCATGGATGTGAGGCCAAAGTGTCGATGCATCTCGTGGCTGTCTGGCTGTCGGGTGGTCGAGAGAGGAAGTGGTCGGGCTCGCCGAGTGTCGTAAGTAGTCCGCATGTCCCACAGCTTCACTGTCGCATCAGCTTCGGATGACGTTGCTAGTAAGTGCTCCCGTCCAGCCCCGAGAAACAACAATGAGGTCACCGAAGCTTCTCCACGCCCATGGGTAGACTTCGGCTTTAGAGCAGCGGCCTTGCGAGAATAATCTCGGTCAGAATGTGCTGCGCGAATCCTGTCCCGAAGCGGTACAGCCGGCATGTTGAGTTTCGTGGCATGATCTTCAATGCCCGCCATTGATGAACGACATGGCTGCTGTGCGGGCCGGTCAAAGCTTCGTGCTCGTAAATCCCAGATGTTTACGTTGCCATCTCGACTACACGACGCTACAATACTGTTGTTTGACTCTGGCTGGAAAAGAACTCTTTTAATTGACGAAGAGTGACCCGAAAGAGTGTGGATAGTCTCCTGAGTAAGCATGTCAATGACCCGACAAGTCTGATCTCCAGAGCCAGTGACTAGTAATCTGTCGTCGTCCGAAAAGCTAAGATCCATAATGGCGTTGTCATGTGGTTTGAAGCTCAGATATGCTTTTGAAAAGCCATCCACTATGCTTGAAGCAGCGTCAAGCAGTCGGATGCCTCCCTCTTCGTCCCCAATTGCGACTAGAGAATTTGCTAGGGCAAGTCAGCGCTGGCCATAATATTGGAAAATTCCATTCAGTACTCACTGTTGCAGCTGGCGGAAGAAAAGGGCAGCGCTGGGTGTCCATGCGCCTGGCTACCACAAAAGTAGGTGTCGTTGGCATTGCTATAGAACGAAGCGGTTTCATACTGCCATATCCTGCTGCTCTGTGGCTCTTTCCGCCTGGTCTGTCCTGACAACCGGCTTGACAAGATATTGCTGCTTGTGCTTAGGCGATGGAATGGTCGCACAGCAGGCCTTCCGTGGTAAACGGTCGCCCTTCTATCTTCATCTGCGACCACACTTTCTTGACCAGATTCCTGGTGAAAGGTAGATAGGCCTGCGGAGTCTTCTCGATTGCATATACTGCCTTCATGATTGTCTTGGCTGGATGTGATGAAAAACGGGTCAGGCTTCAATGGTGATGACAGCAGAGGCGATTCGACTGAAGCAAAAGATAACTTTCTCTTACTCCCTCGAGCCTCTTTCAGCAGAGGAGGACTGTTTTCAAGCTCGTCACCATGACCAATTAGCCTCGAGAGTTGGGGTGAATGCTTTGGTTTGCCGGGAGGGTTCGTTATATCTTGCAAGGCTCTCCGAGATGTGCGTACATTTCGTTCAATTCGGGAGGTCTGTGTCGGAGTAAAGAATTTCTTGAACCGTCTGGGTGTTATCGTAGGCGGCTTGATCGGTTTCTTTGGGATTCTATGGCTATCTGAGCAGGCTGGAGGAGAAGCTGGACAGTTTCCGTTGGTCTCGGACATTTCGATGGAAATTCCTGTAGAAAGGCAGTAGTTCTTAACATTTAATTCTCAAAGTTCCCTCAATCACCGTCAGCACATCGTGGAGAAGCCTAAGATATGAAGATCTATACTCTCAATTAGTGTGACAACACAAACCACATTAGAGGCAAAATGAACACCTCGAGTTTGGCGTAGACTGAAAAAAACCCGCCAAGAGATGACGCGACGGGAAAAGACGCGTTCTAGTGGGTCACATGATTACTGTACTACCATGTTTCTAACTGAGGCAAAGGGGAGCAACCCTACAAAACATATCATTGTTGATTGCAAGCCCTCTCCAACCATGTCCACCACCATTCATGCTGCACTGAAAGGCGGTTCAGAGGCTCCATATAACCGGAACAATCCACGGACATATATAGTATGTGTACGCCTGGAGTATGTGAGCTGATATATGCCCGCTGAGTCGATAACGATAGCTTGCTATATCTGACTAACTAGTTAGCCTCAAAATCGCCTGCTTCTATTTCTTTCGTGGCAGCTTGGAAGATTTGATGAAGAGACGCCTGACTACATAGTACGGAGTAGTGTATTGACTAACTTAACGAATGCGAAACGCTATACCAAAGGAGCTCATGAAAGCACAGACCAGTTCTTAAATTTTTTCTGGATTTCGCACCCCACAGCGAACTCGGATCGCAAAGCAGCATTGGGTACTTGGGCAGTTGGTGTCAAAAAGCAGCGTGCTGTCTCATCGCAACTGTACTGTAGCTAGAGATGGCCTCTGCGAAACGGAAGAATGGCGTAGCTCCCTCCAAAAGTGGAGAAAATGGACCCAACAAGCGTCGTCGAGTCGACACCACGAAGCAGAAACGTCAGCCATTGAGCGAAAGGAATGCGAAGCTCGCTACTGTTGCGTCCGCATCCTCCAAGCTGTCCACCATCTCTGCAGTCACAGATGAGCCACCAGCATTCCCGCGAGGCGGTGCGGGAGTTTTGACACCATTAGAGAAAAAGCAGATTCGGGCAAAGGCGGACAGAGATGTCTTGATAGAACAAAAGAGGGCACAAGCCACGGATTTTTTCGATTTACAGGATCGTGACCAAAGCTTATTGAGCGAGGACGAGGAAAATGATATCCTGGGAGATGACAATAAAATCTTGAAGTCGAAGCCAAAGCAATCCTCCAAGAGACGAAAAGTGCAGGAAGCAGAGCTAGATCTGGCGCCTCGAATCGAAGGACTGAACTACAAAAGAATCGCTCCGGGCTCGCTTATTCTTGGTAGGGTTGCCAAAGTCAATCCCAAGGACCTAGCAGTCTCTCTTCCCAATAACCTGACCGGCTATGTTCCAATGACAGCAGTTTCTGAACGGCTTACTGCCAAGATTGAATCACTCGTGGCCAAAGATGTCGAGGAGGATGAGGAGAACAATGGATCTGCTGATGAAGAAGACGTTGTCGAGCTGAGCCAATACTTTCGTCCTGGTCAATGGGTCCGAGTTGCAGTGACCTCGACGGTAGAGGAGGCGCTTTCAACATCAAAGGCCAAGAAGCGTATTGAGCTTTCACTCGATCCAGTGTTGACGAATCGCGGGCTCGCTTGGAAAGACCTCGTCGCGAATTGCACGCTTCAAGCTTCAGTCAGTAGTATCGAAGACCACGGCGTCGTCGTAGACATTGGTTTATCTGATGCGGAGGCCAAAGGCTTCATACCCAGTCAAGAGTTGCATCATGGCTTGGAAATCTCCCAGATGAAACCTGGTATGGTTCTTCTCTGCCTTGTAAAGAGTCTCGCAGCAGGTGGACGCATCGTCAGACTGTCTACTCAACTTCAGAACTTCGGAAAGAAAACTACTTCGCACACACTGGGCACGGCCCCTAGTATCAATTCATTCTTACCAGGCACTTTGGTGGAGATCCTGCTGTCCAACGTTACCGCCGCGGGTCTTGCTGGTAAAGTCATGGGTCACTTAGATGTAACTTCCGATCTTGTCCAATCTGGTGCAAGGTCAGCTTGCTCCTCGCTTGAGAAGGTTTACACACCTGGGACGAAGATTGCAGGTCGCCTTATATGCACATTCCCGGTGTCCGATTCGAAGAAGCTCGGCTTTTCGGTCCTCGATCATGTTATACAAGCAGATACAAATATCCCTGAGGCTGACATGCAAAAGACTGCCAAGCACGCTTTGCATGTGTCGTCCGTCGTTAACGAAGCGAAGGTTGTTAGAGTTGAGCCTGGGCTTGGCGTGTACTTCACACTGGGATCTGAATCTTTAGAGGGATTTGCTCATATATCTAGATTGAGTGATTCCAAGCTCGATGCTCTTTCCGCCGACAGCGGACCATTTAAGATTGGAACGAAGCACAAGGCGCGTGTTTTGGACCACAATGCGGTGGACAACCTTTTTATCCTATCTTTGCAAGCGACCGTGATTCAACAGCCCTTTCTGCGAGTCGAAGATGTTAGCGTGGGCGAAGTGGTCAAGGGCAGGGTAGAAAAGCTCATCACCGACGAACATGGCTTGAAAGGCCTGATATTACACCTGGCTGAAGGTGTCACTGGTTTTGTCCCGAGAATTCATCTATCCGACACCCAACTGCATAACCCGGAGAAGAAATTCCGTGAAGGTACCACCGTCTCAGCCCGAGTTCTATCAACCGACGTTGTCAGGAGACAAGTGCGCTTGACACTGAAGAAGTCTCTTGTGAACAGCGACCTGAAACCTTGGACGGAGTACAGGCAGATAAGTGATGGAGCATATTCATTGGGAACCTTGGTCAAGGTGCTGCCAAACGGTGCCGTGGTACAATTCTACGGCTCTGTAAGGGGGTTTCTTCCTGTAGCGGAAATGAGCGAGGCATATATCAAGGATGCTACGCAGCACTTCCGTATTGGACAGGTGCTCAACGTTAATTGTTTGCATGTCGATGCTGAGCAATCGAAGTTGACGGTCTCTTGTAGAGACCCTTCAGCCACTCCACATCAACATTTCCATGCAGTAAGCCCTGGCAATGTCGTCAAGGGCACAGTCTTCGAGAAGTCAGAAGACGATTTACTGCTACGTCTAACAGATACAGATATCATTGCGCGATTGGAACTCGACCATATATCTGATGGATCGCTAAAGAAGCGACAAGCGGCTCTAAACAAAACAAGAGTTGGTCAGCAGCTCTCCGAGCTGCTTGTTCTAGAAGTACAGGCCAAGCGTCGGCTCGTCAGATTGTCTAACCGAGCTAGCTTGTTGAAAGCGTCTAAGGACGGCAGTCTCCTTCACGGATTCCAAGACGCCCGAGAAGGCAAGAAGGTAACGGGCTTTGTTTCTAACATTACCCCAGACGCTGTGTTTGTCTCTTTCGCCGCAGGTTTGACAGGATTTTTATCCAAGAGTCAAATACCAGCCGAATCACTTCAGCTTCCAGACTTTGGTCTCACGCGGTTGCAGACTGTTACATCGACAATTTCTTCTATCGATTATAAAGGTCCCCATCCACGATTCTGGCTCAGTCTCAAGGCTGAATCTGGGAAGAGTATCAAAGGAAATGGCACAGTAGAACAGACTCAGGCCCTGACTGATGTTGTTGACGGTAGCACGACTTCTATCGAAGACTTCAAGGTCGGCACGGTGACAAAGGCACGAATAACATCCGTGAAAGATACACAAGTCAACGTTGAGCTGGCGAAGAACGTGCTAGGTAGAATTGATGTATCCGAAATCTTCGATAAGTGGGAGGATATCAAAGACAGAAAAAAGCCTCTGCGAGTATTTTCGACGAAACAGGTGTTGCCTGTTCGAATACTAGGAGCGCACGATGCACGTAATCATCGATTTCTTCCCATCAGCCACCGTGCAGGCAAAAGGCCCCTTTTCGAGCTCTCGGCTAAGCCAACCTATGTGAACAGCAGTGATCCGGAAGTACTAACCCTCGACAAGGTTCAAGTAGGTTCTTTCTGGATAGCTTTTGTCAACAACATTGCTGAGAACTGTTTGTGGGTCAACATCTCACCAAATGTGCGAGGCAGAATTCGTGCCATTGATGTGTCGGACGATTTGTCCCTTGTGGCAGACCTGGAAGAAAATTTCCCGGTCGGCTCCGCTTTGAAGGTTCAAGTCATCTCTGTGGATGTTGAGAAGAATCATCTGGATTTGACTGCTAAAGCTAGTGGCGCTGCCAACCAAATAAGTCTGAAAGAGCTTTCGAGAGGCATGATTCTACCAGGTCGTGTCACAAAAACGTCGGATCGACAGGTCCTCGTCCAATTGAGCGACAGCATCGTAGGCGCGGTCAACCTCATTGACTTGTCAGATGACTACGCAAAAGCAAATCCTATGGTCTTCCAGAAGAATGACATTGTCCGTGTTTGCGTGGTGGAGGTTGACATACCAAACAAAAAGGTCCTCCTTTCACTTCGGCCGTCGAAGGTTCTGAGCTCCTCACTCCCTGTTGAAGATGCTGAGATCACCTCCCCACATCAATTGCATGTCAATGACGTGGTCAGGGGTTTCATCTGCAACGTTGCCGACACAGGTCTGTTCATAACACTGGGCCATGGGGTTACTGCTTTCGTACGGGTCTCCAATCTCTCTGACTCGTATATCAAAGAATGGAAAGATGAATTCCAGCGAGATCAGCTTGTGAGGGGCAAGATCATTTCTCTTGATGTTGAGACTGGCCAAGTTCAGATGAGCCTCAAGGAGTCAGTAATGAAATCGGATTACGTTGTTCCAACGACTTTTAACGACCTGAAAGTAGGGCAGATTGTGACGGGCAAGGTTGCTAAAGTGGAAGACTTTGGAGTGTTTATTGTTATTGATAATTCTGCTAATGTGCGCGGACTCTGTCATCGAAGCGAGATAGCCGAACAGCGGGTAGATGACGCTCGGAAACTATTCAGCGAAGGCGATTTGGTCAAGGCTAAAGTGTTGAGACTTGACCCTGAAACCCGAAGAATCAGCTTGGGACTGAAAGCGCGACATTTCATTGATGAAAAGGAGGAGCGACTTTCCAACAATGAGGACAGAGACACGTGGGATAAAACATCTCAGGCCGAAAATGAGTCGCCTAGGGAGGATGAAGATGGCGACAGCTCCACTGACGACAATGGAGGAGCCGGGCTTGACAACGAAATGTCAGATGACGACGAAGATATTCTCAACATCCAGCACAATGGGGACATAGATTCATCCGCGAGCGAAAATGACGACCAGTCTGAAACCGAAACAACTACCAAGTCCGGTCTGGTAGCGGGTCTCCAAATCGGTGGTTTCGACTGGCAAGGCCTGTCAGCTCTGCCGAATACCAAGAACAACTCGACGCCATCCTCAGACACCGAGCAACTCCATCCTAAGCACAAAAAGAAGCGCAAACCCACCATCCAAGCCGATCTAACCGGCGACCTCGATACCCACGGCCCACAATCCACAGACGACTACGAACGGCTCCTGCTCTCTGAGCCCGACTCCTCTCTCCTCTGGCTGCAGTACATGGCCTTCCACCTCGAGCTGGGTGAGATTGATACCGCCCGTGGTATCGCTCAACGCGCCCTCAAATCCATCAGCCCCCTCGGCGGACAATCCGAGTCCGAAAAGCTCAACATCTGGATCGCGCTACTCAACCTCGAAAACGCCTATGGCGACGACGATACCATCGAAACGACCTTCAAATCTGCCTGCCAAGTCAACGATGCGCAGGAGATCCACGAACGCCTTGCAAGCATCTACATCCAATCCGGCAAACATGACAAATCGGATCAACTTTTCCAGGTCATGCTCAAGAAATTCGGGTCTGCAGATCCGAAGGTCTGGCTCAATTACGCCGCTTTCCTGTTCGACACGCTGAGCGAGCCGGAGAGGGGCCGTGCGTTGCTAAGCCGAGCACTGCAGACTCTGCCGCCTACGACGCATGTAGACATTACGGCTAAGTTTGCGGCGTTGGAGTTTAGATCCTCTACGGGCCTGGCAGAGAGAGGTCGAACCATCTTCGAGGGCTTGTTGGATAGTTTTCCGAAGCGGGTGGATCTTTGGAACGTGCTGTTGGATTTGGAGATGAGGTATGGAGGAGATGACCAAAAGGGGCACGTGAGGAGGCTGTTTGAGAGGATTTTGGATGGCGACACCGCGGCGAAGAAGGCGAGGATTAAGAATAAGCAGGCCAAATTCTTTTTCAAGAGGTGGTTGGAGTTTGAGGAGAAAGAAGGGGACGAGAGGAGTGTGGAGGTGGTAAAGAAGAGGGCGGAGATATGGGTTCGGAGTCAGGGGCAGACAGGCTGAAATCAGACATCTAGAGGAGGGGAGTACCCCTTAGTAGGGTGGCAGGGAGGCGGTGATGTACTGCTCGATGGGAGGTGTGAGAGAGCACACATAGACATAGTTAAGGTGTCCCAAGCTTGTGGTCAGAACGGAGTCGACCACTCCCGAAGAAGGAAAAAAAGGATACCCAATAGACTGGTTGTCCCCGTTCTCCCCACACTGGATTCCATTCTTCCGCCGACCGATCACTGTTCCCTCTTGTCCCAAGCCCCATCCAACCCAACATCCTCATCCAATGCCAGTTACACAAGTGCCGATTATCGAGCTCTCTGCTCCGTCACACCAACGGCTTAGTCCTCCGGTCCTTATCTTCCCAACCGATGCCCTCACCCGATGGGAACGGCTCTAACGTGACCAACCGACTTACACAACACCCTCCCCATGGGCAACACGATCCATGGGAAGTGCGAGAAGCCTTAACTACATCCGAGTTAGTTAACTAGTTAGACTCTATTGCACATGTGGGGGGGGGGTAACTATTGCGCAAGTCAGTTAGTTAGTTAGTTAGTTATGTTACTATGACCTCAATCGAACTGACTGACGCCGTCTGAAAGACCGCGTGCGGATAGTCAGCCAATAAAAAAAAGCCAGAATCAGCAAGCCTTAACTATCTGCCACTCCTCCATCTCCTATATTTTTGCAGAGGTGCTTTTCAATCGACAAGCCCTGCAGCTCACACTTCTGCAGCTGCTGGCTAACTATGCTTTCGGTAAAACTTGTGTCATGCTGAGATTTGCTTTGCTCGCGGAATCTTTAGTGGCGCCATCATTGGTTTGGTTTGGCCCCCCTCCGTAGTTATTCGACGAGAGAGAATGAGAGAGGCTGAAGTGCGTTTACTACATTTGGGACTACTAGGCTCTGTGTAATCGGAGACACCGTCTCTTTTTAATGTTGTTGGTGGGGTGTGGCGTGCAGGTGCTGGTCATGAATGACATGAGAGGGGACGACAGGAATGATGTATACGGCAAGGGAAGGAGTAATTCAGTGTGAATAAGTATGTAAGACTGTACACTATGGGATATGCTACAACTGAAACCAGAGCGGCCAGGATGGTGTGTAGACTGGAGCAGAAGAATTTACCTCCCTTGAGTGGACCCTACCCCATCAAGGGGAGTAGGCAGCCCTCCAGAAGAGCATGCTGCAACAGTTCTTGCGCCGAATCGTGTTTCAAAACCACAACTATTAGAGCGTAGAAGCTGACGCAAAGCTTAAACAGCAGAACCCTTGCGCTCGATATCACCAACAATCTCCGGAGCAAGAGTACCCTCGGCGGTCAGTCCCATATCAGCAGCGAAAGTGGTATGTGGCTTCCATCTGGCCGAGGTACGTGGAGTAGTCTCCTCAAGCATGCGATCGACCTGCTCAAGCGACAAACCCTTGGTCTCCGGGATGAGGAAATAAGCGTAGATGAACGCGCAGGTGCAAAGGCTTCCCCACACAAAGAAGACTCGGGGGCCCAGATTGCCTTGATCGGTACCAACCATGTATGGGGTGATGACGGTAATAATGCAATTCCAGAGCCAGTTAGAGGCGGTGGAGAGCGCAACGCCCCGGGAGCGGATGGGCAGAGGGAAGATCTCGCCAATAACCACCCATGCGCCTGGGCCCCAGGTCGAGGCAAAGAAGAAGATGAAGATGCAAATAAACGCGATTTCGGCCCTGACGGTGGCGGGGTTGCTACCATCAACTGTACCGGCAATGGCGACGATGAACTGGCAGATCACCATACCAAGAGCACCCCACAGGAGAAGAGGGCGACGGCCGAATCTCTCAATGGTCCAGAAGGAGATGGGAGTTGAGCAGACGTTGACAAGCGTGGTGATGAGACTGATCAAGAAGGGGTTGTCGATGGTACCAAGAGTCTGGAAAAAGGTTGTGCCAAAGTAGAAGATGAAGTTTACACCGGTCCATTGCTGCATCATCTGCATAGAGGTACCCAAGATTGTGCGGCGCAAGTTGCTGTGTCCTTGCCAGAGAGATCCCTTGAAGCAATTGGCCCAGCTGGCAAAGTAGCTGCCCTGGGGAGTGACCTTGAGCTCGTATTCATGGTTGGCAATGATTTCAGCCAGTTCTTGTTGGATGTATTCAGAGTCGCGTGGTTGTCCACGGAGCCGGGCTAGGACCTCGGTAGCGCGAGGGATGTTGCCCCGTTTGACGAAGTAACGGGGAGACTCCGGAAGGAGGAACAGGCCGCCGGCTGGAGCCCGTTAGCAGTTTGATCAGAGATCTGACGGCGAAGCAACGTACCAAGAATGATCGCCCAGAGCATCTGGATTGCGATTGGAATGCGGTATGAGCCGGTATCATTGCGGTCCTCGGTTGCATAGTTGACGCACGAGGCCAGCAGAATACCAACAGTAATGCAGAATTGATAGCCAGACACAATTGCGCCTCGAACTCTTTTTGGAGAGATCTCGGACATGTAGAGGATAATGATGGCGGAGACGAAACCCACACCGAATCCCGCGATCAGGCGGCCCGCCACGATCAAGCCAAGACCAGTGCTAGAGGCTGTCTGAAGAATGACGCCAATGATGAAAACGCCACAGCCGAGAATGATGGTTGTTCTTCTACCGGTGAAATCGGCAACATCGCCCGCTACGATGGCGCCAAAGAAGGTGCCAGCGGATAGAATCGAGACAATCAAGGACGTGTTGGAAGCTGAAATAGCGAATTGGTCGGCAGTATCTGGGTTGTCGAGGAGAGTGGGGGATAGGCCTGTGTGGAGGGTAATGAAATATCTCATTCCCAAGACACCATTGATATAACCCGAGTCATACCCGAAGAAGATGCCACCAAATGCCGCGAATGCGCACATAAAGTAGGCCTTGACCGTCACCGGCGACTCGATGCGCGAGGTATCGGCGGTGGCCGCGAGGGCCCTCGATTTCTCGATAGACATGATGGCTAAGGCTCACAGAGCGTGACGGCTAGAGGGATGGTGTAGCAAAGAGAAGGGCAAGTTGGGAGCAAGACTTCGCTTCTGGTTGGGGGCGCGAACAAGAGCAATATGTAGGTTTCGCCTAGGGAGGGGACTCTCCATTCGCCCACAGCATGCACGATGTTACACTGTGGAGATGAGGGTTAGAAAATTGACATCTGCGTTCCCGGCCGACAAATTAGATGCTGCCCTGGCAATGGGTGTTATTCGTGTGGAGCTTGAAAATGCTATGAATGGTGGCAACTGGGGTAACCCAACCAACTCGCTGTAGTGGCGAGGAATTGTGGAGAAAGTGACCGGGGGGCCAGTGCCAATCGCCTGACTTGTTAACTGGATTGAGCTATAGTCCGCGGTTTGTTTCGACTCGTGATTTGGTCGAATCTGAGTCTCCATGGTAATCGCCACACATGGAAATGACATGTTTTAAGTTTGATTGGTGCAGGACAAGTGCTTATAGAGTAACGGACCCCACTGAAGACGGAGATCCTGACAGGTCCCAAAAATGGCGATCAGGGAGACACAAGCAGGAACACAGCGAAATAGCAGGGTTGTGAATGGTACATAGTCATCAGCAGAGAAAGGGAGCAGCTAGCATGGGTAGTCGCCGGGTCAGGTGCGTCTGGCATGCTGGGATGCTGGGATGCTGGGATGCTGGGATGCTGGGCTGCAGTGCATGAATTGTTCAGACTACTACGCATGAAGGTCAGTAACTGGGACGAGTACCAGACCAGACGAAGTACGGGTATAGCAGCTGATGGGAAGGGAGGGGGCAAAATCAAGGCCTGGAGAATACGGGTCAGGCGCATGTGACCGCAGAGTGCCTCCAGTAGTAGGAGCATAATTGTAATGCCCCGTAATACCCCGTATGACCTGTCTCGGTTGGTCCTTCAGCTGACCTACCGGTTTTCAAGAGGCCAAACACACTGCATCATTCTCCAGAATAGAGCAAGGAACCTTTTTCACCTCCTACGTAGTTGTTTGTTAGTGGCCATCTTTAAAGGTAGTCGTACAAGTACTACCGCGACTACCCTCTTTGGACTAAAATGGACCAATTGGGCTAGAATTGAGTTTAGGTGAGAAGCTTACATGCGGTGGAGCTACATAGTACGACTACCAACACTTCAAGATCCAACTCGGCATTGGCATACACTGCGGCAGTTATTTAAGGCTACCTTTATAAGGCTACCTTTAGCTGGAGTTCCTCCGGCACGTTTACGAGGGACATACTACGTAGTAATACGGGATATGGTTTTGTATGACAAGCACATGAATTAAAACCCCTTTCCCAGCCGCTGACGGGATGCATCCATTTCAGGGAGCAGCTCCGTTCCGAAGTTCTTCCAGCTGCGAGCCTCACCTCGTCCTTAAGGGGTTAGGGGCTTTCGTACTACGTAGTCGGAGCCGAAAGAATTGCAGCCTCTCAGCTAGTGTCGCCTTATCTTCTTCCCAATTCCGTCTTTTGGTTTCTGCCAAGCAAAACAGTCTAGCCGAAGGAAACTTAGCCGAGGTAAGCCAATCCTACTTGTAAATACGAAAGTAACACCGTTCTTACCCTAGCGGTGACCTCTACCGACTTCTTTGGGCTGTAGAGTACGACGACGACGACGACGAGGAGAGGCGGTGGAGAAGGAGGAGGAGGAGGAGGAGTAGTAGTAGCAAAAGGGCTCATATTGTGTATTCCAAATAAGATATGACAGAAAACAGAAGGTGGGATTGAGAAAAACGGCCCCATTCGGCTAAGGGTCAGGACTACAATGAACATCTGCAGCCCCGAGTGCTCTCAGTTGTATGTCATTGGGAGTCTTTCGATAACTTGAAATGAAACCTAATCTGGCTCAAATTTTAGACAGTACGGAGTATTCAAGATATATTGCAATTAGGGACCATTTTGAGTATGATGCTGCGCAGGGTTGATGATGGAAGGATGCTTGATCACGTGGCCAAACTAATCCTTAAATAGGGTCAGCTCTTCTTGAAATGATCGTCCAGAGTGAATGACACGCGAACAATACCTGTCAGTCTTGAATATTCCTATCAATGGTGAACCTGCTCTCCTGATGCTACCCCGAACAGCTCGCTGTATAGTTCTGTGTGTGTAAAGATAAAATAAATTAGAGCTCTCTTTGATACTATCCAAGGTTTCACGACTTGCCCTTCCGCTGCTGATTCCCTGCAAAAATGCCCCTGCCCCGCCGCCGCACGGCTACCCACCGATTTAGGCTGATCGCACCCAAAACTGGTATCTACAGCTACTACGTACACTATCACCACTACTACTCCACTCCCAGCGCCAGATTCTTCCCAGAGTCCATACGAATGCAGAGCTGTCGGACTCGTGGTTCCAGCAGATGGAATCAGACCTGAAGAGAGAGAGAAATCCGCCTGCCAACCCCATCGATACTTCCGCTCGACTACCCCAACTCACCTCCGCTTCCACCGCCAAAGGCAAGTCGAGAACCCGTGACAAAGAAGCCAATGCAACCGCAAAGAGAAGATGTGTGAGCACGGCCTGTATCGCCTGTCGAAAACGCAAATCCAAATGTGACGGACAACTACCCAAATGCGCCGCCTGCGCCTCAGTCTATCTCACCGAATGCGAGTATGCCCCGCACACCGATCATCGGAGGAAAGGTGTATATAAGAAGGACATCGACAGTCTCAAGACGAGAAACTCCACCCTTCAAACCCTGATACATGCCATTCTCAACTTCGATGAGGAGGACGTGCCCGAACTGGTGAGGCAGATAAGGAGCTGTGAAAATTTAGAGGACCTGGCCGAGTCCATTGTCGCCAAATCAAATGGCGCACTCGAGCAGGACCTGTCACCGGACTCACCCGTGTATGGCATGGACGTGGTTCCGGAAGTACGCCAATTCGAGACCGAGCTCTCCGGGAAGATGGGTGACCTGCGCGTCGAGGGTTCGGTCAAATTTATAGGTGGAACCTCGAACTTGATCTGGCTGCCGACTGAGCACGAAGTGGACGGAACCGCTTATTCAGGTGCTCGGAACCATCTTGCCACACCCAGTGAAGAAGCCATCCTATCTTGGACGTCGGTCACCAGGGACAAAGACCTGATCTCGCATCTGATCAATATGTATTTCTGCTGGCATTATGCCTACTTTACTACTCTGTCCAAACGGCTCTTCTTGCGCGATTTTTCTTCAGGCTGCTCGACGCAATACTGCTCCGCTCTGCTCGTCAACGTCATGTTGAGCTTAGGATGTCATTTTTCTACCAGGCCAGGAGCATACGCAAATCCTAATGACTCAGCAACAGCGGGCGACCACTTCTTTAAGGAAGCCAAGCGGCTGATGTACGAGAACGATGAATTTGCAATCACCAAAATCTGCACCGTTCAGGCGCTGGCTCTTATGTCTGTTCGAGAAGCGGGCTGTGGTCGAGAGGGCAAAGGCTGGGTGTATAGCGGCATGAGCTTCCGCATGGCCATGGACCTTGGCTTGGATGTAGATGCGCCTGATCTGAATCACGACTCGAAGCTCGATGACGAGGAAAAAGATGCTCGACGGATAACCTACTGGGGGTGCTTTCTGTTTGACAAGTATGGTGAAGAGATTTTGAATTTTTTTGGCGTAGGTTGCTGACTTGTCCTAGGTGTTGGTCAAATTACCTCGGACGACAACCGCAATTGCTCGTCACCAGCATTACCACACCCAAATTTGATGTATTCCCCGAAGAAGAGTCCGAACCATGGTCTCCATATACAGACTCCGGCTCTGTACAAGCCCACAAGCAGCCAGCAAGAACCCGAGCAGTTGCCCTGCAAATTTCCAAGCTATCCGAACTGTCCTCAGCTTTGCTGATTTCCTTCTACCACCCAACTCAGCTGGACAAGCCAGCCAGTAAACAGACGGAGCTCAAGAAGCTGAGCGAGCTCCATACCAGATTAGAAGCGTGGAAAAGAGACCTGCCGCATGAGATGGAGCCCCGAGACGGCCAACTACCTCAGGTTCTCCTCATGCAGTGAGTCCGCCTTCTCTTAGAACCTCGTCAACATCTTCCTCTGTTCCTGTCTTGTTCCCTCTCATGTTCTTGCCTTGCCCCTTGCGCCCTCTGCAGGGGTCAAGCCCCGCAAGGCCTGCAGAAACTGTTATACGACCATCTTGCCGCTTTTCATACCCATTCAAGGCTTCCAGTGTGTTGTGTTTCAATTAGTGTCCTGATGTATCCACTGAGTGCTGCTAATACACGACAGCATGTTTTTCCAACTGCTCTTTATCCATCTATATCGGCCATTCCTGAAATATAATCGCACTACATCACCACTGCCATCACATGTGTCGCCTAGAAAATACTGTACACAGGCTGCTGGAGCAATATCCAAGCTTCTTCGGCTGTATAAGCGTACTTATGGGTTGCGGCAGATTTGCAACATCGCTGTTTACATCGCACATTCAGCGTGCACAATCCACCTGCTGAACCTTCCGGACAAAAATGCCAAACGAGATATCATCCACGGAGTCAAGCATCTTGAAGAGATTGGTGAAATGTGGACATGTGCTCGTCGGACGCTTCGCATCCTGCGTATAATGGCCGAGAAATGGAAGACTGAACTACCTGAAGAGGCAGCTGCCACATTCTCTCGTACGGGAACAAGATGGGGTAGTGCTGAGCCCGCACAGTCCCCGACACTTTCTGATCAATCTCCCGGCCCATCAGTTCATCCCGTACCTGGTGCCATGGTGCGTCAGTCTTCCTTTGACCAGCAAGCGCCCATGCCTCCACAGGCTACTCCGACGATTCCTTATCTGCAGAACGGTTTCTTTGTGGCTCCGCCGCCCGGCGATCAAGACACCCGTCAACGCCGCCGCTCGTCTGGACACCACTCCCTTCCTCCTCGATCTGCGGCGGAATTAGGGCGTGCAAGCAATCGGGTCCGTCCTTCTATCGGTTTAACCAAGGCTCAACAAGACGCATGGAATGCGCACCAAGCAGCTCGTCTACAAGCCAACAACAATGCAAGCACCAGCACCAGCGTGTCCGGTACGCGATCCACCGACCCTACAGTACTCTTTGGTGGCGTTGCAAGCCTGGTAGAGGAGAGTCAAGAATGGTGGCTCAAAGATCAAGCCTCACTGGCGATGGGGTTTAACAACTGGAACGACCCTGTCAGTGGGCGCAGTGCACCGCAGCAGCCGTGGTCGATGCTTGGATATGATGTGCCGACCACAATGGATGATAACGATGGCAGTATATATGGGTATGGGATCAACGACTTCTCGTGATTTACCGGTCAGATCGGACATGGCAAACATCCCGATGCGCTGACGAGTCCGGGGGGGAACTTCAATAATAGATCTATCAGGACCATTAACCAGGCTGGTACGGCAGTAATGAGGTGAGACGAAATTCTTGAATATGATTCATTTACTGGGATGCTAGATGGGAAGATATCTGATTGACACTGTCAGCGTGCTGTATACATATATTCTGCTTCGGGTCCAATGCGAAAATGGTCTCAATGACATGTTTTTGGAAAGCAATACGCTGAAGCCATGACTAGCTGGGCCGATGGAGGTTGGCCTACCAAAGTCACAAATGCGTGCCAGATACAAATGAAGTATGTCGTATGTCTGGCAGGATAAGCATTCTCCTGTGCTTTACCTTTGGACCTAACGTTCACCAATCATACTCCAAAATACCCTCCTTCACCTTACCCTCTGACCACTATCTTCATCCTCAACCCTTTGTCTTCTCCCATCTCTTCCAAACCCCAGCAGCTCTCCTATCTTGCCTCGGGGTTTTGGGACAGGACACTCTCTGCTTCGTAATTCCATCGCGGCTTCTTCTTTCTTCATCCCTCGGAACAGCGCTCTCATGTCGTCGTTGTCGTCCTCCTCTTCTTCCTCACCAGCGATGGCATCGCCCTTGATAGACGGCCTGCCCACTGATGATGACTTTCCTCTTAGCTGGACGGTGCCGAGTAGAGACTTCAGTTCTCCATCTAAGCCTATCTGCGCGTTTTCTGGCCCAGTATCTGCGTCATATGCCTGTGTGTTGGCAACCCCAGCAGCGCCATCACTCCCCCTTCTTCTGCGCCTCTTTCCTACTACCTTGCCATCCTCATCGAGATAGCCCTTCCTCGGCGCGGGACAGGGGAAGATATGTGGGATGCCGACAATGATGAAGGAAGCGGCAAGGGTGGACGCGAAGAGGGTGGTTGTCGCTGACGAGCGGGGGTGCAGGTGTGGTGGCATGTCTCGCCTGCGGATCTCACCGCAGGGTTTGCACCGAGAGGTAGGTCTAGATACGCTGGGCAGCCGGGGACGGGTTGGATATTATTGGCGATGCATAGCAGAGCAGCGGTTGCTGGTTCGCAGCAAGTTAATGTCCACAGGAGGATCGTGCTGCCGAGTTTTGGAGGCGCACAATTGACTTGGGTGATGTAGCACCTAGAGGATGAGGTGTGGCGAAGCTGTCGAAGCTGTCGAAGCTGTCGAAGCCGCTTCTACCAGGGGGTTCTGTAGCAGAAGAGGCGCGGACGAAGCTTCCTTGGAGCTCACAGTCTGGACGAAATCTCAATCTCAATGTCAAGCTCAAGCTCAAGCTCAGAAGCTCGATGGCGGAATGACCATCTTATCTAATCTCTTGGCTTCAGGTACCATGCAACTTGAACTTGAGGCCGGCATCGCATCAATCTCAACGTCAACGTCAACGTCAACGTCGCATTTGGTCTGTTCCAAGGTGCCTACTCAGTATTCCAATCAACGTGTCCACCGTCTATATGCGACTGACTCCTTCACATCAGCCTGCGCAATACTAGGCTCCGCATCACTCCATCGCCATCTCCCTCTCGATCTCCCTTCGCGCATCAAATATCCAACCCTGCGCTGGACTGACTCTAGCACTCTTCCTCGCCCATCATGAGCGACCTAGACAAGTACGAGCTGTGAAATCCTTTCATCTCGCCCAGACACTGACCAGAGCACTACAGAGCAATAGCCCAACTCCGCGCCTGCCGCCCGATCCCCGAATCCCAAGTGCGAGAGCTCTGCTACAAAGCGCGCGAGCTGCTGATCGAAGAAGGCAATGTCGTCTCCGTCGACGCGCCCGTCACCATCTGCGGCGACATCCACGGCCAGTTTCACGACCTGATGGAGCTCTTCCGCGTGGGCGGTGACGTGCCGGACACGAATTACCTGTTCATGGGCGATTTCGTCGACCGCGGCTTCTACTCGCTCGAATCCTTCCTGTTGTTGCTTTGCCTGAAGGTGAGGTATCCCGACCGGATCACGCTGATTCGCGGGAATCATGAGTCGAGGCAGATAACGACGGTGTATGGCTTCTACGATGAGTGTATACGGAAATACGGGAGTGCGAATGTGTGGCGGTATTGCTGCGAGGTTTTCGACTACCTGGCTCTGGGGGCTCTAATCCTCGGCGCAACCACCGATCTCGCACCAACGTCTTCTGTCAGTCTGGAGGAATCGACCCAGTCAACTCTGCCAGCCGACGACGATGACATCGAAAGCGAAGTCCTCGACTCCCAAGGCCACGTCCAAGCCAAAACCATCCGCACCCCTCCACTCCGCGACCTCCCCTCAACCAGCACAAGCAATGGCCACATCTCCCCAGCTCCAGACCGCGACGCTCTCTCTCCCGCCGCCGAACGACCTCCATCTTCGTCCCTTCCCAACGCCTCCTCCCCCACCCTCGGCAGCACCCCCCAAGCCAGCACGTCGCAACAATCATCCTCCTCATCCTTCCCCATCCACCCGCCGTCTTCCACCGGCTCCATCCTCTGCGTGCACGGCGGCCTCTCCCCGCTGATCGACACGGTGGACAAAATCCGCCTCCTGGACCGCAAACAAGAAGTCCCCCACGAAGGCGCCATGTGCGACCTCCTCTGGTCCGACCCGGACGACATCGAAGGCTGGGGCCTCTCGCCGCGCGGGGCCGGCTTCCTCTTCGGCTCCGACATCGTCACGCACTTCAACCGCAAGAACGACCTCAGCCTGATCGCGCGCGCGCACCAGCTGGTCATGGAGGGCTACAAGGAGATGTTCGAGCGGCAGATCGTGACGGTGTGGAGCGCGCCCAACTACTGCTATCGCTGTGGCAACGTGGCCGCCATCCTGGAGATCGGCGAGGATGGCGCGAATGGCGGCGTGGTGGCCAGGAGCAATGGCGACGTCGGGAGGAGGTACGGGCTGGGTGAGGAACAGGTCCCGCATAGCAGTCTGCCGCCGCCCGGCAGGAGGTATCGCGTCTTTGAGGCGGCGCCGCAGGACAGCAGGGGCATGCCGGCGAAGAAACCGGTCGCGGAGTATTTCTTGGTATGTGGATTTTTTTTTCTTTTCTCTCTTCCTGTACTGGGTTGGTGGCCATGAAAGAGGACAACGTGGTCATCTCATCTGCTTTCCACCTTTCTCCAAGACTCAAAGAGGAAGGCTAGCTGACTTGAGTGACCTTGCGTGCAGTAAACCACCCCATAGAACGAAATTAGAAAGACAGCAAGCAAAATCCTACATATGTGCCATGTATCATTCCGCATTCGCCATGTATCAAGCCAGGAACGCGAACGTGGGACCGCAGATCCCCTGGCCCTCGAGACGTATTCCGCCATAAATACCAACACCTCGAGCTCGAACCCTCCCCCGAGGATTGTCCCGTCATGAGGCAACGCACCGAGGCCCCGAAGCAGAGAAGAACACCAATAAAAAATGCATGTATTCTGCGAAGATTGAACTTGGGAGTTTTCAACGCTCCCCCCACCCATGCGCCCCGTCCCGTCCCGTCCCGTCCCGTCCTATCCTATCTCAGCCCATGTATGTATGCTCTTGCATGCATGCATGCATGCCTTGAGGTTGGGCGCGGCTGGGAGGAATGGCGCAAAAAGACGAGTAGCTAATCTAAGGGAGGGAGAAAGGAGAAAGGAAAAGGGAAAGTAAGAAAAGGGAGAGTGGAAGATGAGAGGAGGACAGACTTGAACTCGGGGGCTGTTCATTAGGAGTGAGTGTAGGTACAAGCACCGAGGCAAAGCGCTCTTCACGAATATGGTGGTGGCTCAATAAGATGCTTTTGCAGCTAGGCAGTCGCCATTTTTGGTTGTCCAAGTTTAGACCGAAAAAAGGGGGGGTATATGTTTCGAATCCGCCAGAGCTGGCGCAAGGGGGAGAAAAAAGGAGTCAGATTCAATGCATATTCTCCTGGCCGTCGGCCGCCCTCTGCTCGGGATCCAACTTGATCAGCGTGTCGATGCGCATGATGGCAATGCACGCCTCGACCGCACTCTTCAGCTGCTTGACTTTACTCATACTCGGCTCCAACACGCCCATCTTGACCGCGTCCACGGTGCGTCCCTTGGACAGATCGAGCCCGTAATTCCGGTACGCCTTCCGCCTCGCCATCTCCTTGGCCTCCTCCTGCTGCGCCTCCACCCCGCCATCCTGAACCCGCTGCGCCAGCGCATGTCGCACGCGCAGCTGGGCCACGAGCTCGCTGCTATCCTTGGCCGCGTTGACGGCCAGGGTTTTCGGTACGATGAGCAACGACTGGGCGAACTCGCCGATGGCGAGCTGTTCGCGCGAGCCGACGGTGACGGCGAATTCTTCGAGGTAGATGTGCAGCGCTGTTTCGACGGCGCCGCCGCCGGGGACGATGCTGCCGCTTTCCAGGGTGCGTTTCACGGCCGACAAGGAATCGTGCATCGAGCGCTCCATCTCGTCGAGCTGGTAGTCGTTGCTTCCTCGTAACACGATCGAGGCCGAGGAGAAGGATCTGGTTCCCTTGACGAGGATGCACTCGTCGTCTGAGATGCGGGTCTGCACGACTTCGTCGGCGTTGCCGAGGGAGGAGGGTTCGAACTTCTCGTCGCCGTTGAGGTCGGAGAGGCTGGAGATGAGGCTTGCGCCGGTGGCTTTGGCGATGCGGCGGAGGTCTTCCTTTTTGCACCGGCGCACCGCCATGGCGCCTTTCTCCACAAAGAGTTTTAGTACTAGGTCGTCGATGCCCTTGGTGGTCATGACAACGTTGGCACCGGCCTTCAGAATCATCTCTACTCTTTCTAGCACCATGCCGGCCTCGCGTTCTCGGATCTTCTCAAGTTGAGTAGGGTCTTCGACGGTGATTTGCACGCCGAGTTTCATGCGTTCCTTCTGTAGATTCATGTCTAGACAAGCTATTTTGGCGTCTACTATTCGGGTTTTCATGGCTTGCGAGGCCACTGTACAGTTTAATGCGTAACCTTTGACAAGCATCGACTCGGTCGATGATTTACCATGGGCCTTGAGAATGTTGACCGCTTTCACCGGGTACTTTGTTTCGTTCCTGGCGCTGTTGACCGACTTGACGGCTTGGATTGCGTCTACAGCCATGTTGGCAAAGAAGTCGGCATCTGAACCGATGATCTTGCTGGACATTGAGGTTTTGGCTATATTGATCAAGCTTTCTCTGCCCAGCACCTCGACTTTGGTGCTTATGTTCTCGTTCATGTACTTGACTGCTTCCCGTAGCGCTAATCGATAGCCTGTTATGATGGTGGTGGGATGGATTCGATTCTTGACCAGTTCGTTGGCTCGACGGAGGAGCTCGGCGGCGATCAGGACGACGGAGGTGGTCCCATCACCGACTTCCTTATCTTGTTGAGCAGCCAAGTCAACAAGGATCTTGCCGGCTGGATGTTCCACGTCGAGGAGGGAGAGTATGGTAGCCCCATCGTTAGTAACGGTAACGTCCTGTGCGAGATTAGCAAGCCATCATGATCCTAGCATCACACGCAGCGTACGCCTATATCGTCCACCATCATCTTGTCGAGACCTGACGGCCCAAAGGAAGTTTTGACAACATTTGCAATGGCTTGTGTTGCAAGAACTGTACTTCTGTTAGCGGTGATGCGTTTCATTTTCATTTCGAAACGGGGACGTGCCATTCTGATCTCGAATATCTGCGCCGCTGATCTTCTGTCCTCCCAAAACTAACATCTCGGATTAGCAGTGTCCGGGACGCGCCGAAGCGATGGCTCCTTACACAGTGTCCCAGCATTTCGAGGGGTTTCGAAGATGCCCGCCATCCTGTACTGAGGCCCTCAAGGGCCGGCGACAATCTTGGAGTAGACGCTGGCGCAAGGATTTGGAAATTGTAGAAGACTGGATGCCAACCACTCACTTGGAAGGAATCGTTCCAGGGGTGGGCCAGGGGTGCTCTTACACAGGAATTTCTAGGATAGAGTATGTAGAGACCGCATTGTAAGCTTTAAGAATTTCACAAAAAAGTTTCGGGAGGCTGCGAATGCACAGACCAACCAGGCACATTTAGCGTTGCGGGGACGAGGCCCATACTACTACTGTACAAGGCATAAGTATTCGTAGCACGGCGCTAGTATTTTGGCACCCAAACAGGCTCTGAACGAAGCAGCTAAGCTTGAACAGTTAGGCGGTATTGCTGTGGCCAATCGATACGAACAATCGTCCAAGCTTCTAGACACTGATGTGGACGCTGTATCCGAACTAGTTACTACTAACGCCATGCTACGATCAATTATGCCCTCTACCGTAGTATGTAGACAGAATTGGTGGCCGTCTGGGCAGAATCAAAAGCGTCATAATGATTGGGCTATTCGAGCCCAACTCTTACGCCTAGATAGTCCCATTTCTTATGACAGATATACAGGAGCCAAGATGGCCACCAATTCTGTCTGTGGGCCTCGGAAGCCTCAAGCTCAGGTCTTATAAAAATAAGACGAAACGACAGCGAGAAAACCTTTTCATGTCTGACCGTTTATGACCACTACGGTGTGTCTTACTACGTAGCAGTAGTAGGCTGTCCTGTCCTATCTTGTCTCATGCATATCTCTCTAATCCTGTTCAGATCTGCATCCCTAGTCCGGGGGCGTGTCCTAGTGCCGTAATATTACATACGTACGCGATTAGAGTTCGTTATACTCGATTTATACCCCTTCCGAAATAGATAAAAGCCACCTATGAGAATCGGTATAAAGCTACTGAGCGTCAGCGATGAATTCGACCTAGGACTTACAAATGCCCCACGGAAAGTTGCATGCGAAACAGCTCTAGCATTACACAGAGATGGTGACCCCGGTTTTGGTCTTACGCGTGCAGGAGGTGAGTGGAGGGAAGTCGACTTCTAGGATGGGCCCAGAAGAGGTAGAGAGGACGCGGGAGGGGAGGAAGAAGAGGTGGCTGAGCAAAAGGGTGACAAATTGCATTTATCTCTAGGTGGGTAGAAGTTCGTGATGGTGTGGGAGAGAGAGCGTGATTGAGAGGGTGAGAAAATTGTCGTAACACGCCAAGATGCCTGCTGACGAAGCCTGCGAAATAGCCTGTTGGTAGGTAACTACATAGTAGTGGGATTCTGGATATGAGATCCGAGTCCAGCGATTAGGTTGGAATTTCCCTTTGGGCTGAGTTGGATATTGCCCATTGCTGCAATGGCTCGAAACTAGAACAAGTCAATAGTCCATAGATTGCTAAAACGTAAGCTGAGGAGTCTATCTACAGTGCGGCCAGCGCTCTACTCTATATACTCCTCCATCGAACACAAGGGGTGCTACTAGTTAACCTGCGCGGAGGATCCGACGGAGTATCTGCAGGGCCAGAAGCGGTAGCTTCCCTCTGGAGGAAATTGTACTTCCCTAAAGGGGTCGTATCAATCTCCTGTTCCATATAGAAGAATAGAAGAATAGAAGAATAGAAGAATAGAAGAATAGAAGAATAGAAGAATAGAAGAATAGAAGAATAGAAGAATAGAAGAATAGAAGAATAGAAGAATAGAAGAATAGAAGAATAGAAGAATAGAAGAATAGAAGAATAGAAGAATAGAAGAATAGAAGAATAGAAGAATAGAAGAATAGAAGAATAGAAGAATAGAAGAATAGAAGAATAGAAGAATAGAAGAATAGAAGAATAGAAGAATAGAAGGATAGGAGGATAGGAGGATAGGAGGATCATCCTGTACGCTTTTTCTGCGTATTCTGCGTGCGAATTCTGTGCTCTCTTTCTGCGCATTCAGATTTTGATGGGGTACGGCTTGACAAGATTCTAAAGCCTTAGCCCACTAAAGCACTACTTATTTACCAACTAATCACAAGAAGGCAGAAAGAGGGGGAACATTGACCAATTAGAACGCTGATCATCCGGGCCGCAGATTTAAGCTTACAGCACTTTGCAACCAATTGATCGAGCTTGGCGGTGTACACCAGGTCTCACCCAGCCTCTACATCTGGGGTCAGAGTCACAAACAATTCATAGTCTCTCCACCTCTGCGCAATTACGGTCGCGGAGTCGGTCACTCGAAGAGGGTACGTCTTCCAAGGATCGACTACAACCTGTCACAAACCTCCTCAGAGCTGCGAACTCTACAATGGCGTCCACTGGGGCCGACAAGATTGGAGAGGACGCCCAAGCCAAGCCCGAATCGATCACCAAGAACGAGCTTCCAGACAGAAGCGACGTCCCTGACGAAGCTGGTGCGAATGGGGAGCTCTCCAAGAATGCTGCCAAAAAGGCTGCGAAGCGGGACAAGCAAGCCGCAGACAAAGCTTCCAAATCCAAAGACAAGCCAATCGGCACGGCAGAAGCAAAGCTGCCCACGAGCAAAGCTGCTAAGAAGAAGACCGAAGACACACCTCTGATCGGAATCGACGTGGCCAAAGAGGAGGATTTCTCTGGCTGGTACCAACAGGTTCTCACCAAGGGCGACATGCTCGATTACTACGATGTATCTGGGTGCTACATTCTTAAGGTCAGCCGACCGCCAGTCGATGTTTTCCTCCCTTCTGACCTTCACAGCCTGCGTCTTACTTCATATGGGAGCAAGTACAAGAATGGTTCAACATCAAGATCAAGAAAATGGGTGTCAAGAACTGCGCGTTCCCACTGTTCGTTTCTGAAGACGTCCTCAACAGAGAGAAAGCACATATTGAGGGTTTCGCCGCTGAAGTTGCTTGGGTCACCCATGCGTAAGAGATGCAATTGAAAGTCTTAGCGGACACTAATGGTATTGCAGCGGCAAAACCAAACTCGACAAGAAAATCGCCATTCGCCCTACCTCCGAAACCGTTATGTACCCTTATTATGCCAAATGGATCCGCAGTCACCGAGATCTCCCGCTCAAGCTCAATCAATGGAACTCGGTGGTACGGTGGGAGTTCAAGAATCCTCAGCCATTCCTCCGGACTCGAGAATTCCTCTGGCAAGAAGGTCATACTGCGCATTTGACGGAGACCGAGGCGGACAAGGAGGTGCTCGAGATCTTGGAGCACTACGCGGGGGTGTATGAGCAACTGCTTGCCGTACCTGTCATTCGTGGTCGCAAGACCGAGAAGGAGAAGTTTGCTGGCGGTCTCTACACCACCACCGTCGAAGGATACATTCCATCTACCGGTCGAGGCATTCAAGGGGGCACATCACATTGTCTTGGCCAGAACTTTAGCAAAATGTTTGGTATCACCGTTGAAGACCCTTCAGCCCAGCCAGGCGAGAAGAAAGAACCCCTATTTGTCTGGCAAAATTCATGGGGACTTTCCACCCGAGTGATCGGTGTGATGGTAATGATCCACGGGGACAACCGCGGACTTGTGCTCCCTCCACGAGTAGCCGAACTGCAAACCATCATCGTTCCTGTGGGAATCACCAAATCTACCACTTCGGACGAGCGAAATGGGCTGTACAAAGAAATCGAAGGACTGGTCGAAATCCTGCGAGCGGCTGGTATCCGAGCCGAGGCAGATTTCCGAGACAAACCCCCGGGCTGGAAATTCAATGACTGGGAACAGCGAGGCGTGCCTTTGAGGCTCGAATTTGGCACAAAAGAATCGAGAGGTCATTTTGTCACGGCTTCACGGAGAGACATCGTTGGGAAGGATGGCAAAGGCAAATCGGAGATGCCCATCACGGAGCTTAAGACTGCCGTGCCAGCGCTCCTTGAGACGATGCAGAAAGATCTGTATGATCGAGCAGACGAGAAGTTCAAGTCCCATGTCAAGAAGATCACTAGTTGGAACGACTTTGTTCCTGCTCTGAATGACAAGAATGTGTGCTTGATTGCGCACTGTCTGACGGAGCAATGCGAAGACGAGATCAAAGATATGAGTGCCAGAACAGCAGAAGAGCAGTCAGGAGAGGCCCAGGATGCCAAGGCTCCCAGTATGGGGGCAAAGAGTCTCTGCATTCCCTTCGACCAGCCCGACGGTGTTGAGAAAGGGGTAACGAGTTGTACGAACCCCAACTGCATGAACAAGGCGGAACAGTGGTGCTTGTTCGGACGATCGTATTAGTTCGGATGTGGATTGATGAGGCAGTGTGGACGACTGACTCGGAGCGGGCTCGAAGAGAACCCGAAGAGGATGTGCCCTCTCTTCGCTCTTCGAGGTTGACGATACTGCTGATGACGAATGAGCTGCATGATGATGCATGGGGGGAGGGGCGCACGAACTGGATGCTGGATGGTGGATGGTGGATGGTGGATGGTGGATGGTAGTGAGATAGACACTTGCCAAAGCACTCGGAATGCTGAACGAGAGACTCGACGTGCTTGATGTGCTTGATGTGCTTGATTTCCCTTGCCAAGGGTGTTAACCATAACCATATAACCCGTACAACCATAAAACCACAGCGCAGGCGTGGATGTTAGCCTATATCCCTTTGACCCGGCTCTGACCGACAGCACACATCATAGCACACTAACAACACACACGACAACACACACGACAACACACATGACACCAAGACACAATCTGTCTCTCTGTCTGCTCTGTCTGCAGCCTGTTCCGTGCTGCGTGTCATGCTCTGTAGACGGCCTGGAGGCCCATTTCCTGCAGCTCGAGCTTTCTTATCACCCCACGCCACTAGAGGCTTACATACAGCAGCTTGCAGCCCGCAGCCCGCAGCTTACACCTTGCAGCAGCATCCCGCCCCGCCGTCGATTGATTCGCGCGATAGGGTTCGCCATTCTCACTCGCTAGTCACCAGCCCCGTCCGGCTTCAAGGCGCCCGTCGAGCTTCGCTCAAAATGACGACCTCGCCCTCCGCAGCAATGGAGATGATGATACTCCATACACAGTCTGCTTCTACTGTCAGTCGACGTAAAGTGAAGTGGAAACCTTCAATTGATGACTTAGGTAATCTGGCCCCTGGCACCGAGATTGTCAATTGACTGTCAATTGATCCTCGACTGTGACTGCGATGGTGCATCGTCATGTCAAACTCCCCAGTCATCTCTATATTTCTCCCCCTTCTCCCCCCAGCGCTCCGTTCTCCCCGTCTACCTACCTCTCGCTGAGTCCTCTGACCTACACACTGCCTGGCGCGTTGCTGAATGAGACGTCCAACGGCGCCATCGCTGTGACCCATCGCATACCAGGCTTCAGGACTTCTGCCTGTACGTCTAACCGCTACCACCTGAACTTCTACGCTGGCAAACCTCCTATACCCTTGAAAAATCCCGTCTACAGAGCAGCTAAAGAAAAAGCAACAGCGTTCCTCCATTCTCTGCGCGCCAATCTCGCCCTCGCAACCGCGCTCGATCCCCTCTACTCCTCCCCCGCCTCGTCCTGCCGGACTCCTTCCAACCAAAAACCAACCCCACCCCCACCACGGCATCCCCACCCGAAACCTCCCTCCAACCACCACCACCGCCGCCACAGGAAGAACCATCCCCCACACCCACCGCCGACGACCCCCTCTCCCCC